ATATCAATAATATATTGAATATACAAAAGAACTTGGATTTTCTAATCTATTCTTTTTTTTCAATTTTAATTTTATATTCTTTTTATATTTGTATAATATTAGAATTATATAATTTTAACTTTTCAATAAAGAATACAAATCCTTCTTTGAAATTGATTTCATAATCTTAAAACTTATATTCTAATAAGATTTTTAAATCTTATAAATCTTCGAAGAACTTAACAAATCTTTTGTATTATATTAAAATTCCTTTTTTATTGATTTTATCGATTAATAAAGGATCCGTTATTATTATAATATAATATTTAATTTTTCTGGAAATCTATTCCTTCGGATTATATAATTATTTGCTTTTGCAATTACAATAATCGAATGTTAAGGTATCTTTTATCCAATCGATATTTGAATTGTGTTTTTTAATCTATAGAGTTCCGAGGATAATTATATATTTGTTTAATAATGTTAAATTCATTTTGATCTATTCGATATATCTATTTGATATAATCATCTTGATAATATTGATTTTTTTATATACTCAATTATCAATTTCAATTTTCTTTCTTTTTAACAATATCAATTAATAAAGGTCTTATTTTAATTCTATAAGAATTCTATTTTCTTTTACGAAATTAAGATTTATAAATATATCTATAACTTTAAAATCAATTAAAACATTAATCTATTGATTCTTTAATCTGATTTCTATAATTAATTATTCGATTCTTATAATATCATTAAGTTCTAATAATAATAATTTGTTAATTTGTTCTTCAATAAAAAGATTCAATTATATATACTAATATTTATTTATATTCAATAATCGATAAAATATAATAAATAATAATTCTATTAATCCTATTTAAAAATCTCGATAATAATTTCGGTTTAATACTTCTTTATTATCTTTATCGTGTCACGAAATCATTTTATAGAGTGTTACGGGTAACAATCAACCTGTCCTTATGAGCTTAGACCTCCCTGAAAAGCCAAGCAAATCTGTATACTAATTTGTATGGCAACCGCTTTATATGGTCTCCCCACCTTCAGCAAGCTCGGACATATGGTCTGATCCTAATCATATAATAGAGCCTCCAGGAGCGTAGGCTCCCATAGGCTCCTTGAAGCCCTCAGAAATGTAGGCTCCTGGATGCTCCCGAAATGGATTAGTATATAATCAGAATAGTTTCATAGTTTAAAAGCTTCATACTCAACTTAATTATCAATTAGTTTACCTACATTCCAATTGATTTAGTAACGTATTCACCTTCGAATGGATAACCAGTGATTATTAGCCTTAACCTACAATTACCAACCATACGAAACCCTGAGGCAGCCGCTGCCTCAACGAGATCGTTACATATCGATCCTTCATTAAATACAACAAATCCCAATTTGTAATAGAATCTTTTATATCTCTTCAATTTCTAAATTATATTTATTATATTCCTATACTTCATTTGAGAATAAAGAATTTATATCTATAATATATCTTCTAATATCACTTATTTTAATATTTTCTTTAAATATTATATAATAAATATCATTATATATTATTATATAAAATATTAACAAAATAAAATAATTATAAATTCTTTATTTTTTAATAAAATCAGGTTTTCCTTCTTTATAATAATATTATATCTATTTCTTATCTAAATAACTAATTAGATATTATAACTCATTTTCCCGAAGTAAATAATAAGACTCAATTGTTTATTGATCCTTCTCGAATTTCTCGATTAATTCTTCATCTTTTAGTTCGAAATCTTTTGAAAATTCTTTTTCATAATTGATATTGTTTTCAATACTAATTCTAAAATTTTGATTATTGATATTCAATTCCTTTAATTATTCAAAGTTGAATTGAGATAGATCTCTTTCTAAATAATCCTATTTCCTTTAAACTTTTTTTCAAGATCCCTATTTCTCGAAAACCTTGTTTTTTGTTTTCAAATCTTATTTGTTTCTTATTCTTTATAATGAATAATTTCTTCTTTTGAAAACAATTTCGGAATATATATTTGTTTTTCTTATAGATATAATATAAATTATTCTCTTTATATTTCTTTTTTTTATTAATATTTAAATTGTTTGATTTTATTTGATATTATTCGATATCATTCAATTCTATTAGATTACTAATATTATAATGTCTATTCTGACGATGAAATCTTTAGAACTTTTTGCTTTCCTAAATGATTCTTTTTTTCTTCATTTATTGTTTATAAAATCGATTATTAATGAAAATAAAGATTTCGATTAATTTGAAAAGGTTAAATGATTTCGGAGCTTTTATTAGTTTGTTTTTAATAATATTCTTTAATTCTTTATAGAATTATAATTTTAGATAATTATTATTTTATATAATATATTCAATATATTATTGAAATTTAATAATATAAACTATAATTAATCTGATCTATTTGAATTATTATAATACTCTTTCAATTATATAATTAAGGTTTATTTCTCTGAATACCCTATCAAATCCCTATCTGAATAATTCATAATTAAAAAAGAAATAATAAATCTCAGATTTTATACTTTCGTTCAATTGATTATTGATAATTTTGATTATTAAATTATTGAAAAATGATTCAATTTAATTGAATATAATTCTACAAAAAAAGAAGATTAATTATAAAATCTTTTATATAAAAGTTAAGAAAAGTTGTTTATTAAAAATATAATAAAGATCAATTTGTATAATAAAAGTTCGATATTTATTATAATCTTTATAAAATAAATTAAAGATAAATATCTGAATTATTTATCGATATTCTATAATAATGATAATCTGAACAAAAGTCTTGATTGGGTTGAATAAAGACAATTTGATGAATTATTAATTAGAAATTATTATATTGTATATAATTTAATTATAATAATACTCAAAATATAATGATCTAATTAAAACAACAATTATTTTAAAGTTTTGTTTGATTAATAATTATAGATTAAGATTAATAATCATTAATTATTTATTCGAAAATGAATATATTACTAAATCAATTAGAATATAAATAAACTAATTGATAATTAAATTGAATACAAAATTTTTAAACTATGAAATTATTCTGATTATATATTAATCCATTTTGAGAATCTTCAGAAACCTACACTTTTGAAAGCTTCAAGGAATCTAAAGGAACCTATACTTCTGAAGATTTTATCATATGATTAGGAAAAGATTATATATCCGAACTTGCTGAAAATAAGGAGATTATATAAAGCGATTGTTATACAAATTAGTATACAAATTGCTTGGCTTTTCAGGGAGGTCTAAGTTTATAAGGACAGGTTGACTGTTACCTGTAACACTCTATAAAATGATTTCGTGACACTATAGTTCTTCAATTGTAGATTCTAAGGAATATAATTGACTTTGTTTATTCAGCTCTTATAAGGCTCTTGTATATCACAATATCAACTTGTTTTTAATAATTAAAATTTAAAAATTTTATTTAAAAATTTTATCTTATTTATATTATTTATAATGTTATTTATAATATAATGTAATATTTGTTATTATTATTATAAGTTGAATAATTTCAATAGAGTTGAATGATTTTAAATGAATAATTTTAATAAAGTTGAAAAAAGTTCTAAATCAGATTTGTCTGAGGTTATAAGGCTTATATCAAGCTTTTTGTTAGATTATTTACTGTGGTATTTACTGTGTATTTACCGGGGTATTTTAGACCAATCAGATTGTCAGGATCGCGATTCATTTAAACGAGTTTCTCATTTTCTATAATCTACACCAGGTAAATTACAATACACTATATATACAACAAGGTTTTGATATCGACAAGCCGACAATCAGAATTATTATAACTTTGTATTACAGATAGTATGATCATAAAATACATAAACAATCTTGAGATAGGTAATCTATAAGAGTATATAGAATAGTATTAAAGTAAGTAAGCTTGCTCTTGATCTTCATCACCTCGTGTTTCCTTCCGTGGACCCCGCGCAGTGAGCTCAATGGTAAGATCTTGGTAAAATGTTCTGTGCTGATAGGAAGCACCCTTCTTAATGGCGAACTTCTTCTGCTAGCAATTATATGTAGACGATGTTTGAGAGTCGTGGTTGACCGTAACTAAGAATAATCTTGCTGTGACATCCATTAATCGGGTCAGTCCCTCATCTACTTTGGTATTTTTATGGTAGTCAGTCAGCTCAAATCGGTACTCACCCAGTTTTCTCATTTGCAGCTTCCGTCTCTCCATCAACTCCTCATTCTCATCTCTTCCCCAAAAACATGTTTCACAATCATCCGCATATGCCATGCTGGACTTCCGATGCTGAAATGCTTATTCGTTCTTGTTCATCGAAAGTTGTTGTGGTGACTTGTGGGGGGTAAGCTCTATGATTTCAGGTTGTGTAGTGAGTGATTTAGCGGGGTCAAGCGAACATCAAAAAGATTAAAACTTTAAAGATTTCATCTTCATCGCCTTGATCACAATTTACTCTAATGCCTATTAATTCCATCACTCCAGTCAATGAATGCTGTCTTGCCCTTGATTTTATATTTACTCGCGTCGGGTGGGCAGATGAAGCAAGAAATGAAGCTGGAAATTATTTTTGGTTTGAAACAGCATGGTTTCCTGCGAGGCATTGCGCACAAGTCTACGAAAGTCCTGGGGATGCAAACTTGGACGCTGGATTTCGGCGTTAGACTAAAACGTTAGGGAAAACAAAATCTTCTTAAAAACTTTCCGAGAGGCTTTCCTAAAGACTTTCCTAAAGACTTTCCTAAAGACTTGACTATCACCCAATTGACAGAAGCTTGCTTTCCTCGTCGTTGAGCCGATTCTTGCGCTATTCTTAGTCCCCACGCCCACTGTACTGTGTGTGTTGTTGTTCCTAGCTCAAGTCAAGATCCATGTCACGCAACCTGTGAACGAGTGTTTCTCATCAGTTCGACCACCAAGTTTATGTCGTCCAATTTAAAGTTTGTCTCATCCATCTTGTTTCAACATCTGAAATTTCTTCACAGCGCGGAATAAAATTATTATATTATCTCATGATGCCAAACTTTTCATTTTCATTCTTCAAAATTATCACCCCCCTCAATTATACCAGCAGGCTGGTGGTGTCACCCAAAACGAAAATTTGACCTTCTCTTCAAAGTTTTACACTCCTTTCCATTTTTCAAAGAGGAAATAAAAATTCTCCAAAGATGCCAACCTCAATCCGAAGTACTTTCTTTATCTTCGTCTTGGCCAGTACCTCTATTCTTGCCACTCCCATACAACCTAAACCGTCCACACTAGCTTCTGAGCTTTATGGCCTATCTTCCCATCAAATAATGAACATTGCCAATGGTGCTGCCAAGTTTCAGGCTTCTAGTACAACGACCCGCGTTGCCATATCTACCGGAACAGCCAACCCGTGCTCTCCTGAAGTCCAGGCCCTCGCATCCGGAATCAATTCAAATATTGCAGACCAGCGTAAGGAGCAGGCAGCCGTAAAAGCTGTGGGGAAAATTCTTCAGCAAACACCCCTCAATTCCTCAATGTTTGACGCTGCAAAGTCCTCGCTTTTGAAGTTTGTTAAGAAAGGAATTGCAATTCGAGAAAACAACCAAAAGATAGCTCCGACAGGAAATGCGGCAATACCTGGTTTGGCTACTGTCGCGACGGCGCAGCAGGAAGAGTTTAATTTAACCATGAGCTTGACGGCGAGCGATGTCGCTAGAAGCAATGCAACGGTCGCAAAATTGAAGAAAGATTTTGCAGGCGGGATTGTGCAAAATATGAAGAATTTGGCGTCGGCGACTAAAGGTTGCAAGATGCCCAGCCCTACAGCATAATTTTGCGAATGTAGAAGTGTTCGAGAGTAGTATGGTGATGCTGGGATTTACAAGGGATGAGTCTCCTTCAGGGAGATACGCTAATAAGCATATGTTGGACGCTGATCGCTGTGAAATTTAATAGACGCAATATGTTTCCATACGAGAAATTTTAGAATACATGTGGCAACATTCCCGGTAGAAATATCAATCTTTCTCGTCCATAAGCTATCAAGTATCTCAAGTTCCAATATTTCGTGAGATCAATACTAGGTGCCAATTGCAAGACTTCTTTGTGTGAGTATTGATTGAAAACCAATGTAGTACTACACCTATGTGTATTCTTCTAAAATTTATATCCGTAAAACCATATAATGCCGTACAAAAGATCTCCTTTCCACCGATTCAAACCCCTTCCAAATAGCCTCTCGAGACATATCTCTTGTCCACCTAACAGATTTCACCTATGATAAAGTCTATTTCTTGAATCCTGTACATTTAACAACGTATACTAGGTCAATTTTCTCATGTTAGCGCATTTTACTCAATATAAATCTGTCATTGGGAATGAATACTCACACTGCACAACTTAACTCCCCCTCCCTCAACACCCATGCCTGGTGCGACCGTGTCAATCTCCCTATGCAGAGCTCTTAATCCCCTAAATTCCATACTTTCCCACCAATCCAGAAAAACACTTGCAGTAATACCTTGCCACTCAAAAATATGCATTTCCACCAATATTTGACCAATGGGAAATTCTGGTTTTGCTGGGTCAGGAGACGTAAGTGCACCTGCTCCTCCAGGAAGTGTATGACCGTTTAGAGAAGAGAGAGCATTATATTCCGAATATTCTATATCCGTTTTCAGAATGTCACTATGTTACCAAAATCTCGAGCATTAGTCTTTCCTCTTTTTTATGAAGGGCAAAGGGTAAAAAGAATTTGATAAGGATGAAAACATAGACATGGAGATACTTACATATAATCATGCCCATTCCTTTTCATCAATTCTTGAATGGTAAAAAGCCGATTACCCTCATCCGTAGCTCCATTTGCTCCATTTCTCTCAAAATGTGCCCTTCCTCTCATTTCTTCATTGACTTCCGGACCAAAGTTAAAACCTGGTACATGTTGATCATAACCCCAAACTTCACACTTCGTTCGACCGAGTATTTCGGCTTCGAATGAGGAGTCGTTTCCTACACCTATTTTCATTTCGAGTCATTAAAGATCTCTGACCTTAGGATCACAGGATTACCACCTACCAAAACTATAAACCACACAAGGCATTTTCCCTTCCACAAATTTACTAATCCCACAAATCCACCAACCTCCTTCCCCAAGCCTACCAAGTCTCTCCATTTCCCAAGGACAACCATAACTCGGGGTCACTAGATCCCAAATACTCCATGGAGTTTCCCTGAAAGTGTTTGCATCCTTGGCAGGAAAGAACCCTCGATCTGGAAAGGTACGTCTAATCTCTCTTCTTTTTGCGACTCCCCGCTGATATATTACTTCGGATTGTTGCATAAATGCATTGAGATTTGGACGTGAGATGGGTATGAAATGGAAAGTCTCTAGTGTTGGAATTGAGAATGGTACCTTCGACCTGGCCTTTGACGGGACGGCAACGAAGACAGCGAAGAGGATTAATGAGGTTAAGAACAGGATTTGTATGGAATTATTGGATCGCATGGTGAAATTGAGACTTTTGGGATGGTAGTGTTCTGAGTACACTGTTGAGTTGAAATTCGTGAATGTTTCCTCTGATCGGCAAGTCAGAAATATGTAGTCGAAGTTGAGAGGAAAATGGCACAGTGAGGAATTTTCACCCTCCGCCCTTCACCCTTTGCTCTCCACTTCGATACTTCTTTCTTCTTTGAGGCGTTCATGATTGCGCATGTGTGGAAATCAAGGCAATTGTTTCTTCTCAGTCTCAGGAGTTCCCCACCAATAGAAGGTATTGGGAAGTCTTTTCTGCTTTCTTTTTGCGACACATAGCCGTACCCCTTGCTTGGCCGTGGAGAGACATGACATATTCTCGGGTGTCGGCAAACTTATCATTTCATCCTAAGCACCGTAAAGTAAATTTACAAACCCGAAAATACTCGTATAATGCTATCACTTCCCATCATTGCCCAAATGATTTTCCCCAGCCGCAGGTTTTATTGTCATTTCCACGAAGAAAGTTTCTTTCTGTATACTAAACTTGGACAGCAGGTTTATCAAAAGCCGTGTACTAGAGATTCCATATGGAATGTCTCCTGGGTAGCCTTGACTTCCGCCAAATCTCTCCATATGGAATAGTGTCTTCATCACGAAAAATGCACAAATGGAAGTTGCCGACCTCAATACTCTATCCGCTGATTCCACGGGTAAAAGCAACAGAGTTCTTCAATTCTATTTGATCTATGAGGATTGTTATCTATATACATACCGGGTTTTAATATTTGCCATCCCCTCCGCATCTAACATATCATCTACTCTCCATACCCTGCTCTGGCGAATGTCTTAGATTCTATTCACTCCTTCACCAACCATAACTTTCCCGCTACCCACCAAGAAACTCCAGATTTTATTAGCCACCATTGAAGTTCCAACAAATCTATCAATCCAAAAGCAACCCAATTACTGAGCCACATCTTGAAAAACATCCGCTGGTATAGCGACGAAGTGGCATGATCGGTTTCCTTGAGAATGTATTTTTCAAAAGACGAAAAGACACTGCCACTAGATTCGAGAAGTGGTAGGATACGAGTAGAATAGATCGTTCGGAAGAATATGTAGGAAAAAGTGTTGATATCCGACGAACCATAGTCTTCGGATCGCATACCAGGTTTTATATCTAGTTGGACGGGTAATGGCCATAGAAGATCAGTATTTGAGATAGATATGATCTCATTCTTTGATTCCATTTCAAGAGCTTGGATGACATCGATATATTTGACGAATCGCGTATAGAAAATAGGTGTAAAGACTGATATTTCGATAGATTCCGCTATTTGTGGAGACATTTGGGCCGAGGGCGAATACATCAATTCTACTTTATTATCTAGAAGCCCAGCAGGTCTATACTTCAGAACTAGAGGTTGATCCGCCGTCTCAATAAGATGTTGAAGGTATTGCCTAAACAATACCTCGAAAGTTTTCTGGGTTGTATCGGCATGTCTTGAAAGTGTCACTTTCAGTGGTTCTGGGCGCGAAACCCAAGGTAGTGACCGTTTGAAGAATAGTATGGAAGCTTGAACTAATGTCCGAGGAAATGTAGCAAATCCTACCCACCACCATGATAAAATGAATTGAGTCTTTTGAACTACTGACATTGTGGATGGATCGATTGCAGGGCCATCGGAAAAGATTCTCGCGACTAAAAATGCACGTTCGGTGGAAGTGAGAGTCAACGTGAGATCGAGAGGATTACTTCCGGAGAGCGATGGAAAAAATGGATCAGATGCAGAGATGGAATAGGAACCGCTTCGAGAGTTGAAAGGTGAAACATAAAACTCCTTGGACCAGGTGTTTGTGAATCTCGCTGGCTTCCCTTTTGTTTCCTCTATCATAGAAGCCTCTACATCTTTTGATGTGACAAAATAGGTGTGACGCTCATCAAATGTATTGTTGACTTCGAGAATGACAGCTTTCAATTCTTTATTCCTTGAATAAAGATTCCATATGGAGACAGGATTGTTTTGATACCCCAAAAATCTGGAGGATGTCATGAGATACGCGTAAGGATAGTCTTCATGGTTTAAGCCCTGGACATTGTTAATGGGATTTCGAAATATGAAGAGTTGATATTACCTGATCGTGAAGGAACCTTTTTAATTTACCCTCCAATCCACCAGGTACATGACCTCGCTCCAAATAAGCGTCTCCATCAACAGCATACCAAGGAGACATGGGTTGAAAATATAATAGCCTCTTATACCAAGGGAATATATTATTCTTTTCATCGACTGAAATCATTCCTCCTGAAGATCCCGTCCATCCAACCGGTACGCCGGTCAGGAGGTAGGAGTATGAGAAACCATGTTTCTTTGGAAACAGTCTTAGATGACTTGTTTTTGCAGGGAAAAACATAGGCTTGAGAACTTGACCTTCTAAGTTTGTAGATGCTACCTCAAGTCCTCGGAAGTACCGAGTAATCTGGAGAAGTGCAAACAGGAAAGCCATGCTCCCGGTGTGGGCGATGAAAGTAGATAGATCGACATATTTTTGGAATATATGGAAAAGGAGGTATCTATTATGTACAATTGTAAAGGCGAAGAGATTTGAGATATCGGATACTGATCCGAATACCCCTATGAGTGCAACTGAGGTGGCTGCAAAATAGGGAATACCCATGGCTCAATTCGAAAATTCAAGGGAGGCAATATTGAGGTCTTTGATGATGCATTTTCTTCCCTAAACGGCTAAGTAAATTAATTCTAGCTGACAGATTGTCAAATGTGATGCCAAAAAATATATGTGGAATAGCTTCTATCTTGAAGATCTCAGGGTTATCGTAGGATTGAAGAGCAATAGCGTTAACATCTGAGATTGTGTGAAAACATTCGAAACGTATATGGAGGTCAATGAGCTGGTTGATGGTATCGGTATCAAAAGTCTGAGAGTCGTACAAGGATATACTGCCCCGTATCACCGCTTTGTCGACGTAACTTTACCTTAGCACTGCTTAGATAATAAATTCTTTTTGTATCTGATTCATTCGGCGAGAGGAAGGCGCTACCAAATCACAAATAGAACAAATAGAAAGTCATCAATCCATCTTCAGCTTCTTCTAAATTATAACAATAACAATAACATCATCGTCAATTATCTCAAGTTCTTTTCAAGACCTTTTCAAATAGCCTTTCAACTAGTTATCATATCTTTTCAGGCAATACTTTTTGTTAAATACCCTCACACAAATCATTCAAAATGGAAGACTGGGAGTCTGTAACAAAGATTGGAAAGAATGTCCGTGGAGGAGCCGGCGCAAACAGAGAGACTGTCATTAGAGGTGCAGCTGCATTGAACGCCGCCAAGCGAAGTGGAGGAGCTATTACCACTGAGAAGAAATTTGCTTCCGGCAATGCTGTAAGTCAAGTCCATCTGCGTATTAATGTTTACCCCTCTACTATGCGACCCCCCATTGACCTTTCCTCCGACGACAATGGACCGTGAGCTAACCTACTTTACCAATAGGGCCCCTCAGGAGAAGGTCAACATCTCACAAAAGTCGACCGCTCTGATGAGATCATTAAGCCGAAGACTGTCGGTCCGGAAGTCGCCCGCGCCATTCAAGATGGTCGCAAGGCCAAGAACATCAAAACCCAAGCTGATCTTGCCAAACTTTGCAACACCACCCCCAAAATTGTCAATGACATGGAAAGAGGTATCGCAACGCCGGACCAGAAGGTCCTGAACAATATGGAACGAGTTTTGGGCATCAAGTTACGCGGAAACGATATTGGAGGCTCGAAATTCGGAGGTCCAAAGAAGAGTGCTACGCCTGCTCCTGCACCAAAGGCAGCGCCTGCTAAGACGACGATTAAGATTGTTCCTCCTACGTCTGGACCACCCGGGACACCTAAGACTGGAACTCCAGGTGGGGCGGATGAATAGTAGATGCAACCGATGTGATGTTCAGGAAGGGAGTTATATGAGATGAATTGGTGGATGGTGGATGCTTTAAGCAATGGAGTTTATGAATAGACGAGATGCATGAAGGAATAAATGAAAGCATTAGATCTAAAAAAGAAATAAGTATCGTTGCATTGTATCTTAATATTATTGTGTCAGGCGAATGGTATTTTACACAATAGAGAACCCATCTCCCTTTTTCAACATGTTCCAACTTCCCTCTGTCCATGTTTGTTCTTGATAAAGTATTGAAAATGTCTTCACCTAACTTGCTCTTTATGAGACGATTGCTTCTTACCTGTTCAAACTTAGATATCTCCATGTTGCCGGCACTGCAGGGCGGATTCCGTTCATGATCGACATAAATCAACCTTCCACTTAGCACAAGAACGGAAACCAGCGCAACTGCATAGGTTTCAAGGACAATATCAAGCACGGAGAGACAAAAAGGAATCTAGCTGTTCATGCTACCACTAACATCAACGGAGGAAAATGCATTGAGCAACTATTTGTTGCGTTAACCTGTCTATTCCATACCCTAGTCTTTCTCCGTGTCCCGTTATTCCCTGGCCCTGTATCCCATTGTCCTGTATCCCGTATGATCTAACCCGCCATACATATCCGTTGTACCATAGCATATTTCGCATCTAATTTATACAAAAACAAGGGTATCTTCTAGAAATAAAACATACAGTATTCAACACTCATCCAAGAACCCTCGTTCTCAATATCTCACACAACAACAATCTCAAGTACCTTGAGCTTTTTTTACTCTTTCCCTCACACCCTCCTCCTCAACTCTCCTGTCTCTATCAAAGACCACCGCTTCCACCTTTCCCATGTTCGCCAACTGGACCCATTCCGGCGCAATTTCATTTACTAATAGTTTCACAACGGCGATTGCCTCATCTTTCGATAAAGGAGTCTTAAATGAATCCTTCAATTTTCCAATTAAAGTCGGCATTGTGAAGGAAATTCTCTGTTGACCAGCTGATCCCGATGTACTGACGATACTGAGAACCTTAACCACCTCTTCAATTCGTGATAAAGCTGCTTTCCGGGCTACTTGTTCGGGAGAAGGGGCTTGGGGAAGGAGAGACTGCCTGAGTTGTTTGGCGCGAAGACGCTCCAGAAGAGTGGGTGTCTTCTCGGCAGAAGTTGAAGCAGACCTGGAAGTGGATTTGGAAGTTGCAGCTTCGATAAGAGCAGGTGATGACTTTGTTCTTCTGAGGTCTTTTCTTGCGACAATCCCTGCTTTCATATCCTCGAGTCGACGTTGTCCTTTGGCGAGGAGGGGTGTCATTTTCGAGAGTGAAGAACAATGTGTGATTGGCTCTAGTGGTATTTCCTTCATAAATACCTCAACCGTGACATCATCCTCTTTCGACTCCCATTGCATCATTAATTTTTGAGTAAATATGCCATTAAGTGTCTCTTCATCAATTGGTCGTAGATTGTTGCCCTTTCCACCTCCATTCCCCTGTTCAATTTCCACACATATCTTTCCGAATCCATAATCTGAAAGAGTAATGCTAGACAGATTCTTGTTTTCTGCGCTATCTTTGATGTGGGAGTTTAAGATACCGAGAGCCTGGCGGATGTCGTCCAAGATAACCTTCCGTTTTCCCCATGCTCGGGCGACGTCTGGACAGAGATTACGTAAGTCTGCGGGTGCATTAGATCCATTGTGGGCGCAGTGAAGTGTAAGTGTTGTGAGAAGAGCAGCGTGCAGATTTATGATGTCAATGAGTTCGGCAGGAATGGATTTTTTAAGATCTTCTTTTGTTTCTCCTTCCTCCTCCTTTCGATCGACGCAAGTTTGTGGATTTTCAAGAGTAAGTGCTAACTTTTCTGACCCAGAACTCGAATCGATGAGGCTTACAGACGAAAAGGAAGGTCTTTTCTGTACAGGTCTTTTTGGAGTTTGTAGGAGGAGGCGATCGAGGAGAGTACGCGCGCCTTTGGTTGGGGTGTCGGCGGTGATTGAGGATGTTCTGATAGGTTTATGCGGTGTCTTTGGAACTTTTGCTGGAAGGATCAATTGCTGTGGAGCTACTTTAACATCCTTCTCAATTGTTGCCTTTTCAATGACACTTGATTCCCCCTCCGCATCCAATTTTCTCTTCCGTAAATTTATTGAAGGCTTATCCAATCCAGTAACTGTGACTGATACCGGTTCGACATGTTTATTCTTGTCAGCAATTAACTTCAATCCCCTCTTCGCACTTGCTTTTGAAATCGTAGCGAAGGAACTCAATGGTTGAATCTTGGTTGTTGTTGCAGTTTTCGGGGCAGTCACGGCGACCTTCCTTCTTTTAATCGCAGAGGGCATGATTGTATTTTGACCAGATGCAGGAATAACCCAAAAATGCAAGGCAAGAACTATGTAAGCAAAGTTGCAATGCGAGGAAGGTGAAATTGCAAAAAGTGAAGGTGTTGATTACTTGGTACAAAATTTGAATAAGTTGGTTGATGGAGGAACGAAAACTTATGAATAAGTAACAGGTTGAATTCGCAACGCGTCTTAACGTCAATGCATGTTTTGACGCGTAAAGTGGTTTTTGGAATGGCGCGGGAAAATGTATTAACAAACAAACAAACAACCAGCACAGCAAAGAACATTACAGTACATCAGTATATCATTAAATCAACAATTCAGTTGGCGCACACAATTTAGAACGTTCAGACTGGATCTGCATCTATCATACCGTCAGATTGAATCCTCTTCCATCATATTTGACACTCCTGCCGGAGTTTGGCATATTTCTTGATCATTCATTCTTAAAGCAAAGAGCAGAATCGTTCATGATAGCAGCAAGATGTACAGATTAGACAACAGCAATCAATTTGCATCTCAGGTATCTAGGTAGGCAGCTTTTTATTCCATACATATTCTTTGGGGACTTTTACATTAATAGAAGAACTATCATTCCGTCCTCTAAACCTTTTGTATTTGGCCTTGGCGCATTCTGCGGCGGCTACAACCACAACTTTCAAAAAAAAAAAAATTGGTTGCATGGCTGCAGACAAAATTCACTCATTTTTTATTTGAAAAAAGTCCAAATTTGATTACGGTTTTAGGTTCAAAAAGTCTGCGACTTTCAAATTCCCCGTTTTGAAGGATTTGAATGAGTCCGCGCGAGGGGTGTTTTGAGAATTTGACCAAGGTGGCTCTGAAGGCAACTTCTGAATATATAGGATATCCTCTGTCAACAAAAGCACTGTTAGGCTACTACAGCTTCTCGTACAATAACAGCATACAAGCTGCATCTTGCATTTATCGACATGTCTCCTCCGTTCCTCCAAACGCTACCACGAGAGATCCGCGACTCAATCTACACTTACATTCTGGGAAGCCCGGATGGTGTCATTACGTTCTTGCCATGGTCTATAGAGGTCGCGCGATCACTTTCCATACTTCGAACATGCAAACAAATACATAGAGAATGCAAGGATGTAATTTGGAAGCACAAAGGGTTGAGACTGCGGGAGTCTACTCAATTAGAATACAAACTCGAAAATATATACTCGATGCTTGGCGAAACAGCACGATGGCATATACTTATACAATTGGAGGTGTTGGACTGGGATGAATTAGAATGGGTCGGCAGAAGTCTGGCATCAATTGCAGGGTCTTTGCAAAATCTGCATGGTATTACGATCAAGGCGAATAAAGAACGGCCACAAACGGTAGAGGAGTTCGAGGATATCCTTGATCTAAGAGAGAATGGGGAAATAGTCGATGGGAGGCTATATCAGGAGTACCCTGGTATTCCTTCGGCAGACAAGGAACCTCGGACTTGGATGATAAATACTAGTTGGCCTCGATTGTCTCCTTGGGCAAAGAGGAAATGGTTGGCTGAGATGCTGATTGATACGGCAGATACAAGGAAGCTGTTGTATGGAATTCATAATAAATTTGGCGGACGTTTATATGTGGATGGAGTGCTGTGCTTGAAAGAAGGGAGTCAGACTGTCGAAGATTTCAATCTTGACGCAAGAGATGGAGAGATTAAAATTATACCCGGACGTAGGATAGAGAATTGCTGAATCAGGGTTGTTTGATTTATACTAGTTCTAGAACATCCAAAGCTTTCGAGTCTAGGCTTGGTCACTTTTTGAAAACTAGTTCAATTTACTCATTACAACCAAATCGTCACGATCATCTGAGGTTCCTAATTTTAGATCATCTTCAATAATGTCAAACTCCGCTGCCCAACAGGGCTTGAAAGATACGAGCAATTCACGCTTTCAAACAAACCCATGTGAAGATCATCGGAAAATACACAAAATGCGGGTTACCGGCGCGGACCACAGCTTCTTCAGCCGCGGAATCAATGAGGCACAATGAGGCTGCGGTTGAACACTGATATTTCCTGCACATGCATGTAACTTCTATGCGTAGTATGTCACTTTATCTTTTCTCGGTGTGCGTACTTCAATTCAACATGCGCCAATATAACACTTGTATCTAAACTGTCAATCTCTGTACCTTCACATCTAAAGTTCCCGCCAGCCCCAGCTCTCAATTTCTACCCAAACATCCCATTCAGCGTCAATTTTCTGGGTCAAAATGCAGGTCCGAAAGCCTCTCAATCTTTTAAACGACATCCCCAGGGAGATTCGTGACGAAATATATAAATATGCCTTTCAAACCCCGTACAACTGTGTCACCTACCGCTGCACTCTAAAGAATACCTATCAAATCCTTCCCTACGACCCTCAAAACGACATTTGTCTCTCAAGCTCTCCTATTCCCGCTCTTGGTCTGCTAAGTACTTGTGTTCAACTATACAACGAGGCTATCATCTCCCTGTGGAAGGTAAATTCCCTTGGGCTTTGGCCTGCCGATCTACTTTTCCGCCTGGGGAGTTTGGGGGAAGATGCATTTATGCACATACAATCTCTACAAGTGAATCTGGACTTGACTGACTCAGATGATTTAAAATGGGCCGAAATGTTGTTTTCGAGAATCGGAGGAAAATGGAGTATTCGTGATGAAAGGACCGAGGGAAAAACATGGGGGAGTTTAAAGCGTGTTCAGATTAACCCGATGAGGACTGAGGAGATGAAAATGGATGTAAAATGGATGCAGCGGATTTCAGAAGCTATGCATTTGCGGTGGAAAAGTGAAGAATTACTTGCTGGTCAGAATGAAGATGCGAATAAGACATGGGGGTTGTATTCTGAATGGATGGAACTTTTCCGTAAGACAGGAACACCTGGGAACGATGCATATTTAGGAAACGAAGTAAAGAGGGTGGTTAGTGTGAATACGGCATGGGATGAATGGGCTTATTGGGACCAGAATGAGTGGATAAAGAAGTTAAAACATGGAGCTAATGTGAAAGCAATGGAGCAGGTAATGAAGGATCTGAATGAGACATTTGGGGGCGAATTGTGGGCAAATGGAATATTGCGCTATAAAGGGGACAAGAGACTTAGGAAGGTTTTTAAGATGAAGCAGGTGGATCTTTTGGCGTGTTAGGTATGATCCATGAATGTGGTGATTGTTCAGACGCAGGAACTGACAACAGCAAAACATGATTTAATCATCGACGCTAGCTTGTCTGAGAAAGCAGATGTTATAATGAAGGGCAGGGGGGGAAATGATAGCCGGGCGTTCAACGAAAAGATGCACTACTGCGAGGACTATTTGACTGGGCGAACTGGCTGGTGGCAGCATTCAAAAGAAAAGCTAGCTCAAAATTCTAATCTTTTAGGGTCTTCTGGACATCAGCTTAAATGGACGGGAGAGCATCTTAAGGACGGAAAAGCAGGCCATGAATAAAAACGATGCGATGATGTAGTGGCTATCTGGATGAAGCACTTGGCGACAGATAACTAGGCCCCTAGAGCGCATCACATTTCTGCAGGAGATTGCTAGTCAAGACTTCTAGCCAGTAATTAATCAACGATATGCTTACTATTAGATAAATGTAGCAGGTCGAGCTTTACGAATGCCATGGGCATATTGGTACAGATTGCTTGCGAGTGCCTGGCAAGGTGACATGAAATTGCATGAAAACATGGGTATCAAATATCAATTCTTTGTATATCTTTCTCTAAAAATCTACAATCCTCCAACAGGCGGAACATATGGTGTAATAAGCATCTCACTAAATTTCTCCAACCTCTCCTTTCCTCTTACCTCCTCGACTAACAAGGGCATCTTCACCACATTAAATTCGTCGTATAACTCCTCAATCTGTTCCAAATATTTCTTCTGCATCTTCCTTCTCGCATTGCATTGATCACAATCACTTCCTTTCTTGGGGAAAAGCAATTGGTTGACCACTATACAATGAGTATCGATTTGATAAGATGATAATTCTTGTATCATACGCTCTGTTTCGTAGAGGGAGAGAAATTCCGGTATACAGACACAAACGAAGGTAGTGAGATTTTCGTCTTTGAATTGGCCATTTACTTCGGAAATGGTTTCACGGAGGCCTTCTAATTTCTCCATCATCTCACCGAGGTTTTGTCCATTTGGTAGAGAACCATTGGCTCCAAGTAGTCCATTCAACATAGGTCCGAATTGTGTGGATAATTGCGAGACTTTTGCGAGAGCTTTCTCGAGAACGGTAGGGAATTGAAGGAAGCGGAGGGTGTGGCCTGTAGGAGCGGTATCGAAAATGATAGTCTCGTAAGAGAGAGATTTAACTTGTTTGAGGACTTCTGCGAAGGACATAGCTTCATCGATACCAGGAATCTATGAAAGACATTAGTAAATAAGTCTTCCCAATTATGTATAATAAGAGCAAGGAGGACAAACAGCAAAAGCCAAATCCTGCATCATTCCACCCATCCCCGCCGCTGGTCCCTCACCCTCCTCGGCCTGTCCCATAAGTTCTTGAATACTTCCATTCGGATCAATTTCCATAGCACTCAAATTTTCAAATCCATTGATAAGCCTAGCTTCCTTTCCAAACTTTTGTGAAAAAGCATCACTCAAGTTATGTGCTGGATCTGTCGAGATGAGTAGGACTGAACGACGAACTTTGGCGAGTTGAATGGCTAAAGAACACGATGTGGTGGTTTTTCCTACTCCTCCTTTTCCACCAACAAAGATCCAGCGAAGAGATTTTTGATCGAGGATAGATTGAAGAGTAGGCTCGAGTTGATCATCGTCTGTGTTTATTACCGCGGTAGACATCTTGATGGTAGTGGGGTGTGGCGGGGGAGGATGAGCGGGCGGAGATGTTCGGTATATAGGTAAGAAGGTTGAAATTGGAAGGCAGAATGGGGAGTAAAAATGATGGAAACTGTGAATGATCGAAGTCGAGTCCGAGTTACTGAGTACGAATTACTGGGCCAGCTCCTTAGATAGATTAAAGTTCTGGTAGGCTCTAGAATTTTATCTAGTGGGATCTTTTGCCTTCTGACGTATTCTTTCTCTTTCCCGTCTTGCAAGTTGTCAAACACCAAACACACAGTGGTGCGCTAATGATTTGATTCGCCAGCCTCGGCAAGATGTCTGGTTCTACCCAGCTTTATCATTGATATCAATACTGCAATACATTCCTACGTCCTCGCATACTCAATTAAATATTGTTGCTCCCAAGGTAATCTGGGAGTTGGCAGTACTCTCTCTGTAGGTACCCAGCTACTCTTGCAATAAACTTCGAGGCTGATGGCTAGCTCTGCCATTAGTAGAAATCGCCACGTGATCACTGGTGTATGCCCCATAGGTAAGCCTTATCACAAGGCTGAAGCGGCCATCTCCGGTTTGCGAGGCTAGTTTTTATTACTAGGGAGGTAGGTAGCTAGCTACTCTTCTCTGTTCTTCAACAAAACATACGAATATGAACATGAATATCTTGTGTTGGGTTTCGTAACTTCTTTGCATTGTCCACAGTTTTCCATTCCCCCAAACTGGCTCAATCTTGGTAGAGGATAAGTCTTTCCCTCCTGCCATCCTTACTCATCTACCATCCTTCAAGTCGATACCCCGCAACGAACCCCACCTCTGAATATTCCAACGAACGTCTGCAAGCTACTCGTACATCCTCACAAATTACAACTCAGCTATCATCTACTTTGCACCTTTACCCAATATGGCAGATAAAGATCCAATTACGTGCCACGCCCTCGACACAACTACTGGTCGACCAGCTGCCGGAATCAATGTCACTTTGCTCTGCCTTTTCGAGGAATCGACCATTTTTCGAGCCATTACGAATGCCGACGGTCGAATTGCCAACTGGAATAATGATGCCGGGTCCAAGAAAGTCGGCGAACTGATCGCTGAAGGAGGAAAAACAGAATTTCAGAATCTGCCAAAGGGATCCAGCATGTGGAAATTACGATTCGAGACTGGCGCATACTATGGTTATGAAAACACTTTCTTTCCCTGCGTTGAACTCAACTTCGCGGTCAAGGAAGGAGAACATTTCCACGTTCCTCTACTTTTGGGTCCATACAGTTATACAACTTATCGCGGAAGTTAGTTTGGGATATTATACTTCGGTTTATTCCCATGAATGAAGTTATTTCATGGTTCTATCGAGATAAAGCAATAATTACAAAGGGATAGTATTTATTATCAACCTTTCGGACCTCCGAACTCCAAACCCATTGAACGCCTCGCTTACTTGATCAAATCCCGCTCATTTTTGTGTTGTCCTGTGTTCATCAAGATTGTTTCTTCCAAACTCCTAATTGCCTGCACCTTCGCTGTTCAACTTTGTCATCTAACCTCTATGTAAACTCAGCTTTTGAAGCATCCCCTTCTTTCTTTCCCCGGACCTATAACCTTGATCATCTTTGCCATCTATTTCTGCATATTCCTCTACTGTTTTGTCTGAATCGGCTAGCTCGTTTCGTTTCACATCCTTTTCTGTCTCATCTGTGTACTCCACCTCCTCATGTAAGGGTATGCTCAGAAATGACCCTTTATGTTTGCTATGGAGTCTCCTAAGGGAAAGTCGTGAATGAGAACGATGAATATCAAGTTCGGTCGATTCGAGAGTCGCGTATGGGGAAGTATCTGCTTCGGGATGTCGAAGTGTTGTATTACGTTCTATTTTGTCTCAGCTTCCCATGAATCTCGACACCTATCTTGGGCAGTGTGCAAAATGAGAAGGGAGAGGAAGAATGATACGTACCATGACTTAGAGGCTCTGGGAATCCAGTGTCTCTACCGGGATAATTTCTCTCCATCCCCGAAGGTTCTTGCATATTCGCGTTCATATTCCCGTTATCGACAGAATACTCAAAATCACCAAATAACTCTCGTCGCTTTCGGGATACTTTGTGGCTGGATTGGAGACTTAAGTTGAGACTGCTGCGTGAGGATGAATCTATAAATTCGGATGTTGTTGAGGTTGAGGAAGCTGATGATGATGGCCTTCGAGATGGTAGGACGTTGTGCCAGAATGAGCCTGTCATATTTTTCCGGTCTCTTTCCCCCTATGAGAAGAAGCAGAATGAAGATATAGTACGATGGTGGAGTCAAAAGGGAATGACCGAGACAGTGGAGAAGGGTAATAAGTAAAACGCTTTTGTGACTTGCTGACTCTGCCTTCCTGTTTGGTACAGGCTTGCAGTATGCAGACACCTAGTATGCAGTGGGTCAAGTATCCTGTTTCTTCTACCCCGTACTCTGGAAACCCGGCAGTGTGCTCACGAATTAGTTGTCCAATTGTTTGATCGTTCACAGAAGAATGCCAAACAGTCAACTTAGAAACGAAATAACTTCTACAAATACAAATTCAACCACTTAAAATAACGTCAGTTAGTTGTAGTGCTTGTCATCAAGTATAATGAATGTAATTGTGACTGTCTCTTGTGTGCTGGTTTTCTTTTACAGTAATTCAGAAATGCAATAAAAATGATAGTGAAATAATTGGCAGGGGCCGGGTCTGAAAGACATTTGGATATTGAAGCTTTAGAAAAGGGTAAGGTTAGGTATGGGTAGGGGATTTGCTCAGTTCTCAAGGCAGGCTAAGCCTTGTTTCCTGTGAAGATTTACCAGATTTACTAGATTTTGGCTGGTGAGAAGGTCCTCATGACGTAAAAGATGGGATAATTATCACAAGGGTGTAGTGGCTAGGGATAATTGGACAGGAGATTCCGATGGCAATATGCACTTAGGGTTAGGGTGTATTTAAGTGATGTCTATTGTCCTCTCCTATATCCAATCGCGTAGGGATACCAAAGGGACATTTGAAGCTTTCAAGACGCTTTTCACGGTACAAGTATCGATTCCCTTCCTCGTTAATTTTCCATAGCAATAATTACCGTCCTCGCTATTAGTATTAGATTAAGGTAAGTCAGTTCCTCGATAACTGAGTCCAAGAGATTTCGGTAGGGTGGAATTAAATTAAACCTCATTCTCACGCTTCCACGCTTGTTCTACTCCGTGATCTATTCTAATCTACGCCGTAATTGTCTTGTCTGTTTGTTGCCTTTGGTCTTTTGTCCCACATCGCTTCGGCTGGTGTGGTGTGGGGATTTCGGAAGCACGGCAAACCCGTAAACGTCCAAGAGTAATATCGATGCCACAAGTATGCGTTTATGTCTGGGTTTCGTGTGGCTAGTGGCGGATCTATTCGAGATGTGTTAATGGATTGGTGGAGTTAAAAGCTTGAGACAAGGAATCTGGCGAAGACAAGCTCACAAGGTTGTACTCCGTTCTCGTACCTTCGTACATGCGAATGACTTCAGCTGCAAGAGAGTGGCTCGGCAATGCTTGTTGGTTCGTTGGCTGTTACGTGTCGAATGCTACCATTAGAGGGGCGAATGGCAAGCTTACTGATTACGGGTCATAATTCGGATCCGTCGACGAAAATGTTTGATTCTGTACGATTCCTCAAGTCCGAGATGGCATGCATGTAATGTGCTTGAGGGGAGCAGAGAGGCAACAAAAAGTTGTTTGGCAAAGGAATGATTAACAACTTTGTCCATCTCCGCCACGGAGCTATTCTACGAATACAGATGTGACTAACTATCCCTAGAGGATGGAACTAAATATCCAAGTTGGTCTTTCCTCTCATCCGGCTAGAAAATGCCAAGATAAGATCACATTATTCCAGTCTATAAGAGTATGAGAATGTCGATGCGCCATTCCACCATTTCCCCTCCTTCATTTATTCATCAACAGCAATTTTAGCTATTCAAGTATTTTCAAGAAATTCGATATCGGGGCAATACCAGATCAAGAAGACGATAATTCTTAGTGCTCTAGTAGAAATTACGATCAACGAATAAATTCTTGGTAGTATGTATCAAAGCGGGATGTTTGGACAATTTCCAAGGAACTCCCTTTCAAAGTAAACTTCTCGGGCAATTATTTAACTTCAACATGATCATCGCTCGAAGTTCTAATGCAATGATCTTATCGTTACAGCGAAAGAAATTTAAAATTGGTATCATTGTCTCGCTGTTTGCGAAACGTGCGGAAAGCGTTGTCTCATGAAGTCATGGCATGTCGACAATTCTATACATGAGCAAAGTTCAGTTGTTGTAAGGAAGTATGCTCTTATTTCAGAGAGATTAGTTGAGGGCCACATGAAGAGCGGTTAAAAGGCTCACCGGGAGTTTGGAAGCCTGTATGAAGCACGTATTTTGGGTAAACGGGACTTCCTTCACAGTTTTTTTGGGCGCATCCACTGGTTATCCTGTCTCCGGAAGTATGCTGGGACGTTGCTGAGAGCTATTGGGGTTTGTTGGTGCCCACACACCAGTGTATAACCACGGCTGTGAAGGGCTCTTTGGAAGCGGGCTACGGCTTTGAAGGGAACGGCGGGGGATAAATGCGGTACGGTAAGTCTCCCGGATTTCTGCACTTATCACTGCATCTTTCGTTCCATATCACATGTACAATACACTGAAAATATACACAATTATACAGACTTCTCTCTGCCCCTTCAAATCTGATTTCTGGAATTCTTAATGCTACCAAAAAGTTATATAGAGAATGGCGGAACAAAGAGCGAAACTCCGTACTAATCGTCTATCCTTCCTATAATTACGTACCTCAATCCTCAAGAACAATTCTTGCTCGTTTATTTAAAATACCACTTCCTAGAATCCTGTAAGCTATTTCGACGTTGGAACCGGAAATCATTGAGCAAAAGCTTGGAATGGGTGAGGATACATTTGTAACAAGGCTACTATCATGATTTTTGGACAAATGGTCAGTTTCGTGTAAGAATTTTTGGGCATAAATATTATCCAAATGTAGCGAAACCTTGGGCGGTTGCGTTGGCATCCTGCCGCGAGGACCAAACGATTGGATAGGAGGGGCTGTTCCGTCTGTACTGGTCCTGAGAAATAGACGCAAATTCATGAAAAAGTATCAACCTTTCCTAATAACTTACTATACTGTCAGCTCCTTTTTCTCTTTAACTTTAGTCTACGACAAACATGGAAACAAGAAATCGACATATTAAGTAGATATTGAAACATTTAGTACTTTATTCATCAATCAATTAAATAAATATTCGTGGTATACATATATACAGGGCAAAAGCCATTCCAATCCAGCCCACGCTATGCATTGCAAAACAAGACAATCATTAGACATCAACATAATAATAAACAAAAACGAAAATGTCATCATCTCATCTGGGACCCGCTACGCGGTGACACGCCGGCTTTTCCAAGGCGTCTCAACCGAACTTAGCCGCCAAGCCATTGACAGGCCAATTTCCTCGAAATCTCACATCCGGATTTCGACCCTACTCCTTCATGTTTCCTGAAAGGCCCTCGTCGTGGAAAACACCACCCTGACCGGCTTCATTAACTTTCTGGAGTCTACCATTTCTGGTCTCCAAATTCATGGCATCGGTATTAATATCAGTACCCAAAGACTCCCTCAGCTCGCTATCAAATTGGAAAGCATGACTTCCAATAGGCCTGACCCCCATCAGATACATGGCATCCACTTCTTCCAACGTCTTCCCGCTCGATTCAACAAGGAAAAAGAAAACGACGAAGAAAGCTGCAAAATTACAACCTGCAAAGACATATCCATATGCATAATTGATATCTTGCGTGATGAAGGGGGTAAAAAATGCAAGCATGAAATTCCAGAACCAATTGGCCGATGTAGCAAAAGCCATTGCGACGGCTCGGTATCTGTATGGGAACATTTCTCCAATGCATGCCCAGACGAGGGGTCCCCATGTGCTGGCAAAACCGACGATGAAAAGACAAGCAAAGACAATCATAACGGTTCCAGAAGTTTTAGCAGTGTGACTTCCTTCTGCGGCATCCTTGAAAATAAATTGTCCGACGGATGCAAAAATGAGGAAACACATGGTTTGCCACAAAGCGGCGATGTATAAGCTTTCGCGACGACGGAAGTGACGGGCCATGTAAACACCAAAGAAAGTGGCTCCAACGTTTACACCACCAAGAATCATAGCGGTGACATAGGAGTTTTTGATACCGACGCCAGCGAAGATGGATGTACCGTAATAGAAGAAGTAATTGGCACCACTAAGTTGTTGTAACATTTGCAAGGCCATTGCGAGAGAAACTCTGTAAAGCATCCTTGGGCCGGTAACGGCTTCATACCATGGATGGTCACCAACAGTTGCCGCACGAACTTTCTCGATTTCCGCGACCTCGCTCCGGATCATTGGATGTGATTCCTCGACACCGTAGAAAGCGGCCATGGTTTCTTGAGCTTTTTCGGGCTTTCCATGATTCCAATTGTATCTAGGAGTTTCTGGAAGGAGGAGGATACCGATACCAAGAATAATTGCCCAGATGAAGCCAACGCCCATTGGAATTCGGTAGGAAGCTGTACTTTTGAAGGCTTCAGTCCCATAGTTGATGCAGTCGGCGGTGAAGATACCGATAGTGATGAAGAGTTGATAACATCTGTGATATAGCGCGTTAGCTGGGCATCCCTGATTATCGACCTCGTTTGAAACAATGGAGATTTTGAACTTTGAAGGATACCGGAAAAGGAATACTCACGAAATAACAGCTCCTCTCACTGGAACAGGAGAGGTTTCAGCCATGTACATTGGTACAAGGACAGACAGTGCACCAACTCCCAAACCAGCAACCCATCTTCCCATTACAATTCCCATCCATTCACCTTTGCCAACAGCCATTTGTATAACAACACCAATACAAAAGATCATACAGGAAGGTGGAATACATATTCTGCGTCCGAATCTATTGGCAAGAGGTCCAGCACACAAACATCCTATCAATGTGCCGATCGATAACTGGAGAACTAATTAGTAAATGCATTTTTGCATGCCCTCGAATTGGAGGATGAAGAAAGGACCTACCAAGCCAACAATCAATCCAGACCGCACATTCGTGAAATAATAGCCAGCAGGATGTGCCACTAGATTACTACTTTTTTCTCCAAACCTCTGCAGGAAAACATGCATTTCCAAAAATCCAGAAATTTGACCAGTGTCATAACCAAAGATAAATCCACCCATGGCAACCAATATGGTCATGAAGATGGTACGCAGTGTGATAGAAGGAACTTTGAGATTTTCGTTTACTCGAGTATTCTTTTCGGGGTTGGAGTAGAAGGCATTTTGGCCTTGTGCAGCACCACCAGTAGCTTCCATCGAGCTATTTGGGGAAACCATGATGATAGATGGTGGACGATAGACGGATGGAAGATGAGACCAACTTTGCTAGAGAGTATGGTTCGCAAGCAAAGGATATAAGGAAAAGAGGAGAAGAAGAATCGATGGGATAGAAATGGAAATGGGAATGGAAATGGAAACGGAAATGTATTAGGAGACGAAGAATGAATTATATATTTTGATGTGACGTCTGCCCTGACTAGAAGGCTAGATCTGAAGGGGTACCAGCTCGCTGCTTGGCCTTGTTAGATCGTGTCAAGTGATGAAAATGACTAGGTAGACAGATTTGAAAAGAAAGATCTGACGCTGACCCAATTAACCAAATTTGATGGGTGATGGATGATTCGCTGGATCTTCATGAACCCTCCATAGGGATCGTGGGTTTTCAGAGATTTTTCACTTACTCGGTACAGTCTATGCCATTATGGTCGTCTATGATAGACATCCCAAGGTCTAAAGGGTTTCAACTTTCAAGGAATTCAGGACCAAGGATAGACCAGCGTGGATAGGGATGGGTGTAGGGATGGGTAAGGATTCTGAAGAAATGAAGATTAGACAAGACTCCATGTGGAGTTTCGTTCCTGGAGTCCCCAAAGAATCAAAGATCCATAGAGATTCTAAAGGTGATCCACCAGTCAGTAGTCAGTAGTCAGTAGTCCGTAGTCAGTAGTCCGTAGTCAGTTGTTCAAGCTCTATGATATCCATCATGGAATTCCCCGTCAGTGGTCCAAGGTCCACGCACGACATCCATAATGAAATCCCCAGCCCATTCACCAAATAATAATAAGGATAAGGATGATGATGGTGATGGTGATGATGATGATGATGATGATGATGATAATACTCTGTAAAAACCTGTAAACTGGTGTAGGGAAATGGGTACATTGGCTGTGTCAATGCTATGGACCATGGTATGGTATGACGTTGTGTCATTCCCTAAGCCTATTTTTTTTCTTTTTTCTCTCTTCTGAACCTTAGCACGGCCCGGACATCTACCATCCATCATTCATCCATTCATCCATCCATCCCATACCATCAAGGTGGGTCCATCCCGGACATGGGAACGACCCTGAAAAGACCCACATAATTCAGGGGAACAGCCAATCACCCATCATCAATCATGAAAAGTGAAAGTGAAAGTGAAAGTGAAAGTTCCAACCAAAAAAATCAACACCCACTGCACTGGAGATTGGATTGTAGAGTTTGTGCTATATGTCATATGGAGATCTAAACGGTCCTACTCTCGGTGCCCTTCGGTGATATTACTTTAATTTCTGGGGACTCGGATACCTGTTGGGTGAAAAGTTTCTGTCGACGTGTCCATGTCAAGTAATTAGCATGACGGTCTGACCCATTGCAAAGGAATTTTGATTCAGAGACTTCCATTTCGGGATACGGGGCATCGGGGACTCCATGGCTGGAGAAATTGGAGTGCAGCAACGTGGTGTGGTTGGGGGCTTGGGGATTTGGGGAGGTGTGGGAGGTTGTGGGAGGTTGTGGCAGGTTGTGGCAGGTTCTGGGAAGGTTGTGGGTACCAGGCGAAATTCTGGGAGGCGTTTCTGCATTGCGGGTGTGGCGTTTGAGTTTTGATGGGTACGCACCGGTAATAGGTAATATGGAGTGCCGCCTTGGAAAAATCATGGTATGATGATGAGGCGTGAGAGTCTGACGAACATTGGAATTTCTCGGTTTCTTCGGAATCACCTGAAGGTAAGGAGATCAATCATGAAGGGGATGAAGGAAAATACGATGAATGATGAAAATCTCAACATCAACATCAACATCAACATCAACATCAACATCAACAATCATTTGTATTCCAACTGCGAATGTGACTTTGAATACCGTACGAATCAAGCACTGGCCCCGAAGGCGAAGCAGGTACACACAACATACAGTACCTAGGACGTTCGGACTTACGATCAAAGGAGACATAATGATTCTAGTGGGAATCAAAATGGAACACGGAGCGGCCGGGTCGGATATACACGAATCATGCCGACTTCACTTCTAGCTTCCGCAGCGCAGGAGAGAAAAGAACATGTTTTCATGGACCTATTGCGTTGTGCGGTGATAGGCTCATGATTGAGAGGCGGTAAGGTCAAGTAGTAGGTTACTCCGTACTCCGAAAACCGTGGGGGTTATTTTATCGAGGTGGGTGGGGGGCTGTGTGGTGTGTAGTGTCACGTGTGATTTTGATTGTGGAGGAACGGCGGAGGAAACTTTTCATCTAGGAACAGACAGGCAGGCAGGCAGGCAGGCACACACAAACGAACATGTATGTATAAATAGGTACCTAATATATATATACCGCTACCCACTACCGGCATTGAAGATTGAGCGATATACTTTTAGACAAGTTAAGGTACATAACATCGACAATTTCATTCCGAATCATCCATCACCGTATCACCGATCTTCACTCAATGTTCAATGTTCAATGTTCAATGTTCAATGTTCAATGTTCAATGTTCAATGTTCAATGTTCAATGTTCAATGTTCAATGTTCAATCTCCAATCTCCAATCTCCAATCATCGATTCTACCTCCCAAACGTTGTTATACTTTGGCACACCAGTATATGTCTCTCCAGTAGGAAAGATGGTCAAAAATTGGTGAATTCGGAGAAATCTTTCCGGGATTGACTAGAATCCCATATCTGTGATGCGAGACCGCTCTTGGACAAAGGTCGAAAAAATGAAAAATAACAATATTTGGCAGGAATTCTAATCTTTATAGATACTAATAGAGTCACTCACACTGGTGAGATGTTAGCTTTTACTCATCGCCAGTTCTTCTCATCATGGTTAATTTCGGCACTCGGAATACCATACCATATCATACATGCGCCATGCATCTCACACAATCAATCTAAAGAGCACACGACTTTCCTTCGCAGCTTCCCCCATGCACTTTCATCCAGATAAGGAAGCTCTTAGGAGAAACTTTTCATCCCCATGCTTTTCGGTCCTACAACATAAAAAAGTATGAATCAAAGGATGGAGGTACTGTAGGAAGGCAGTGAGTGGTGTTTCCGCTGTTCAAGTAGCATACCCGGGTAATCTCGCGATTGAAAAAGATTGAATAGAGAATGAATGATGTGAGATGAGATATTTGGTCCGCGCCAAAAGGATAAGTAGGTAGCCCTCGATGGATGTGTGGAATTGATGAAAAGCCGAAGAGACGAAAAAGTCGAAACATATTTCTCCGTTTCATTGGCTACACCGCTGATGGTGAATTGAATAAAGTCGACTGACCTGCTTCCATCCAAACTTCCAAAACTTCAGTGATCGATCGGAAAGGCCGTTCAGGGTGCACCACCACACCAACCACCTAAATTTATCACCGACAGCTAACCTTACGCATTCCATTATTTGAGACTTCGGTAGCAATATCCACCAAACAGATTGATTGATTATGAGGAATTTGATATGATTCCAGGGAATGGTGAAGAAACTAACTTGATACTTGTGTGAAAATTTACTAGCTGCGTATTCAGGCAAAATGATGTGGATAAATCCTCCGTTCAGAGCAGGTTCAAATTAACGTAGGTGTAACGTACCACCGAAACGTGGGACGTGGAATGTAAATTCTAACTAGGTACTCAAAGTCTTACAACTTTACGCCGCATACTTGGTATCTACATATTAAAAACCATTCCAGAGCCATAGAAGACGGTCCAACGGGTTCTTCTTTTTGTTCTCTTTCCCTCCAAGGACTACAGGGCTGGGTGAGGTGTTAGGTGCTGAACTGAGATGTGATTCCTAGATCTTTACCTACCTACCTACCTACCTACCTACCTACCTACCTATCTAGATAAGATGGGGAGTTAAGCACCAGCCAAACAAACAGAACATGAGACGGTGGATATACTCCGTGTCCTCCGTACATGGCATCCTGCTCTATACCTATACGAACTTGGAAGGTACATATCTCATACAGCGTACAGACAATACATATACATACCTAATAGATACCTAATAGGTGGTCCAACCAATGCACCCCTCCCAAGTGATACCTTTGATCAATGTATCCTTATGAGAACAATATACAATACATTGGAGAATAATCGGGGAATAATGTCTTGAATCTTGCCATACTATAAATATAAACCTTGATATCCATCTATTCCCCATTTCTCTCCATTATCATTGGCGGAAGATTATGACCCCCTGATTACCGACCATTCTCACCTCCACTTCTCCAAATTCCCCATCTTTTCGCAATCCCCTAAGGACTTCCCCCCAGTTCAACATCACCTCTAAACATATCGCCTTCAAACTTCTATGCAGAGTCGCAAGGGTTTTTGCAAACAGAGCTGCTTCGTCGATGGAACAATCTTCACCGAGAGCACATTTCTTATCTTTCCTATTTTTCCATAATAGTTGCTATTCGATCCAAAGCAAACCCCTTTTCCACATTGACCTTGGTTGTGGCATTGGGATTGGCCTGCTCGAGCACTAAGTCGCTGAGCTAAGGGAAAAAGGAATTATAACAAACATAAGGGGGGGAAGACTGGCCACAAAGTTAAACGCATGGATAGAGAAGGTTATTAACATCACAGCAAACAAACAAAAACATCCGCCTCCCAGTTCTTATCCTACCAAAGTTATAAGTCCTCCCGCCATTCTGCGTTGTGTGTATGAATATCTTTCATTGCTTCATGCTGCACCACTTCACTCAACCCTCTTTCTAACCCCTCCAAACTTTAATCGAAACTCTTTGGCGGAATCTCGACTCTCCCACCGTCGACACTACAACGGAAGAGATTTTTAACAAATCACCAAACTTGTCACTCGCAATCATATCCATCACCTTGTTCAACAATATATTGCAAATCAGTGCAGTGCAGTGCAGTGCATAGAGATCTTCGTCCACAATTTTACCTGCAACATTACACTCTCGTCTCAAAAGTTTCATAGAGTTTTAATCTTCTCTTTCAACCGTTGATGTCGATCGTTATTACTATCACTCCCGCATCATTATTTGAAGATCACGGGCTGCCATGTAGTACAGAGAAGTTGAGCGTAAGATCAATTTTATCCTGACCCTGAGAGAACTGGACTCTACATACCTGACCAGGTACACGTTAATATCACAAGCAAGATATTCATCACACTTTCAACTTTTACCCGTCGATCCCAAACTTAATATTCGAAGTTAGCCCTCATTCACGTTGCGCATCGATAGTACATCATCATTAATATCGTACGCTTAAAATCACTTTCTTTGGGTCTGTACATCTAGGTACAATCTCATCGTCCATAACTTTTACATCCGGTAAAATTAGTGGAGTAGAAAGCTCTGGTCCAATATTATCCCAAGGACATCAAGAACTTCCTAAATATTTCTCCAATCTGTCAATTACGAATACTGGCGAATCTATGGCAACCAAACAACAACAATCAGCTCCGACGCCGACGCGGCCGAGGAGCACAAATGGAGTTATCAAAGGGACGAAAGCCGGTACGGGAGATGAGAGGATAGTTGTCATTGTTTTTGGCCAAGGTCAAGATAAAATTGTTCCTGTTTTCGCAGATGTACTTGGAAAACCATATCGGATGGCCACCAACTTTTCGTCGCTTAAAAATGAGGATCATGGAACTGTGATAGGAATAGCAGCAGGGGATGCAAAGGTTGATATTGATTCCCGGAATCGCTCATTGATTGTCGCTATTAATGCGCATTGTGTGGCCTTGGGGATGCCACCTGATTTGGATTTATCAGCCTCAACAGATTATGAATTTCTTTACACTGAGACACCATTTTTTCGAAGAGATCTCTCACGATTTATCTCATTCATTTTGGGTCAAATAAGTCATCACGAAGCACTCATAACGAAGCCAAGGACTTATTTCATATCGACAACATTTCCAGACGTTCGGACGGCATTGTCTAATTTGGATATTCTTTCTGTTGGATCCGATGCAGTAGAAATTCGTGTCGATTTACTAAAGGAAGGTTTAACTGACGGAACTTTCAATTCTGTGCCAAGTTTGAGTTATGTTGGTGAGCAAGTAATGCTGCTCAGACAGCGTACAGAATTACCGATAATCTTCACGACAAGATGCACGAAAGAGAATGGTCGATTTCCTATGGACAATCCAGAACTTTATTACGAGTACCTTTACCGAGCTATACAGTGGGGATGCGAATATGTGGATGTTGAGGTTTGGTTACCAGAGGATATCAGAAGAAGATTGTTTGAGCAAAGAGGAAACAGTAAGATTATTTCAGCATTTCATGATTTCTCGGGAACATTCAAGTGGCCATCACTCCAGGCTCAAAACATCTTCCAAGAGAGCCGAAAGTATGGAGATATAGTCAAGATGATTACGATTATCAACACAATGTCGGAAAATTACGAACTGGAATACTTTCGTTCTCAGATAAAAGCCAACAATCCCGATGGTCCTCCATTATCTGCTGTCAACATGGGACAACTCGGACAATTATCTCGAGCTCTCAATACCGTCTTCTCACCCATCACACATCCTCTTCTCCCTATCGTCGCTGCACCCGGTCAATTGAGTGCCGCGGAAATCAATGGCGCTCTAGCAACCATGGGTCAACTCCCAAAGAAGAACATCTACGCTATCGGTACTTTTCGCTCCATTCCGCAAGCAACTTTTTTCGAAAAGTGTTTCAACGAGCTAGGTTTACCACACAATTTCGCAACTGTGGACCGAGGTGTCAAAGGTTCTGTCGAAGCTTTTTGCTTGCAACCTAACTTTGGTGGTGCATACATCAATCCACCTATCTCATCTTCACAGCCATACATACCTATGCTATCGGATGCAGCACGTACCATTGGCGCTGTCGATACTATTGTCGTCCGAGGCGAAGGACCATCAGCAACTCTTATCGGGGACAATGCAATCTGGAAGGGAATTCGTGCAACGCTTACACGCGATTTTGCCCCTTCAGCATATAAAGATCGAGCTGCTATTATCTTGTCGAGTAATGGAGAAGATGCCGCGTCGGTTATATTTGCACTGAGGAGTCTTAATATTGGGAAGATCTATACGGTTGGATTCAAGGCACATGGACCATTGGCGGCTGGTGTCGAGCCCTTCACTTCTGTGGAGAGTGTTACCAAATCTGACACTCCATTTGCGATAATCTCAGCACTAGCACCGGAGAAGACTCATTTAGTACAACCCCTTCTAAGATATTTCAGCAATGGAAGAGATTCTCGAGGGCAAGGAAAGGTCTTCGTTGACCTTGCCAATGGACCAAGAAAGGGAGATCCGATAGGTGTCGCAGAAGGATGTGGATGGACGGCTTATGGAGTTGCTGATACGAGTGCCTTCACAACGGTGGAGACTTTAAGATTATTGGTGGGACAGAACGTTCCATATAGTTTTGTGCGACTGGCCAGTGGGAGAGGATTGTATTGATTTCTCTGCGGAGACTGAGAATGGCAGTGACTATTTTGGGCTGGTTAATGCGCTTGTGGTGACGTCAGTGCAAGATGTGGTGTTCTCTCTATTTTTCACAAGGCAGGCGTTAAGGGACGGTACACAGCGGGCCCATATTTCCAAGAATGAACAGGACGTTGTAGATGAGACTAGAACGAGAATGGTTCAATTGGTCAGGCTATGGCTTTGTGCCTTCCAAGGTGTAAAGAGTTCGGATCATTTTTAGACGGCGGATTGAGGTTCGCATTGTCTTTTGTTTTTATCCAGTGTTAAATTTAATGAATGCATGAAAGTCGAAATCTTATTACACATACTTGAATAAATTGTATGTACGCACTTTAATGAATTGTATGTTGCTCGTTTCTCTCGTTGTGCTTCGGGGTTCCTGAAGTCTATTTTGACAATGGTCGGATGTGCTTAATCATTTTGCTTTAGAAAGTTTCCTTGAATTTCCAAGCAAGTATCATTCTGATTACCTACCCAACAGCAACGTCGCTCCCTCATCTTCACATCACCGAAACACGCATTCATATAGATATCAAATTTTCCGAATAGAGATAAGTTCTCCAGTTGTTTTATCTCTCATCGAAACAAAAAAGCTGAAATTCTGAAACATTCGAAAATCACCAAAATGGTTTGTTTTCTTGTCGCTTATTATTCCACCGCTCCTCCAATACCTTATATACAGTCTATCCTTCATTTCCCTTCCCTTTACATAATAATCTTACTTACATAGAGTATATATAATAAGTCTTTATTCTAATAGTTACTGGGTAATTCATGAATGTCTTCATTTCTTTATGATAAGTGTCGTTCCGATTAAACATAAAGCGCTCTGCGGGTTTTCTGGAACTTGTGTTGTGACTTCTTATCAGCATGCATCTTGTGAAAATGGTAATAGATCTATAGTATTCCCAGGTTTTTGGGATTGGTGATAATTTCATGGATGGTCGAAGATTTTGCATTTGTTTGTTTGGCGTGGTTTTTTGTTTTCTGGCGTTGATTGTGATATTTGGTTATTCATTTAGCTACCACTGCTACTAATTACAACATATATTTCTCGGTTTTTTTTTGGCATATTCTGTGAGAAACATTTTTAATTCTTCTTTTTTCCGACTTCCTGACTATTTTGAAAATCCGTATTAAATTCCTCCGCCCCTCTAAAACAGATCAATCTCTACACCTGCCCAACTTACTGCACTTTAGCCATGAAGTACTGTCTACTGATTCTTAATGCGCTCTTCATTCATAATCGAGGGAATTTACGACGAAGTCGAACTCTGTGATAATTATCGAGGGGAATTCGGAGTGCAGTGGTTCGGGTTGTTGTATAGCTTCTCTTATACTAACAAGTCAACAGGCCTGGATGTCTTTGGTGTCTAATGAATAGTGAGTGCCATCGTGCGGAAAGGAGAAAGGAATCAGTTAGGTGGCAATGACAGAACTTTCAAGTACATACAAGATGAACATAATGTTTTATACGAGGTAAAATATGGTTCCAAAAACATGATGACAGGAAGAGCAGAGGTCAGAGCAAATATATAGGTTCTTTTCGATTTACTTTGGGTATTTGATGCATCAGGGGTGCCAAAGGATTAGGTCGGGTTGAAACAAGATCATTCCATTTTGCCAGAGGCATTGAGAGCTTCTGCTGCTGTTCTGTCTCCATTCATTCCACCGTTTTTTATTTTTATTTTTCCACATTTCCCAATACTCTGATAACTATTGATTAAGCCTAGAGTATGATAGACGCCCAAGACATTGTACCCAAATTTATGCATCCAGTTGGATTTCAATTGAACAAGCACCAGCTTGGGAGAGGCATGTTTTTGCGAGGAGCAAGAGGAGCAAAGAGATGTTAAAGGCAATGTAGACGTATTCAATCCAATCGTAACCAGAGAAGAACCAAGGGGTAGTTCAAAGCTTGAAGAAATGCGGGAATAATCTCGACCTGCTTGTCCTCATTTCCAGTTTTCGCCACCCCCGCAGTTGTCCCCCTTGGTCCGAGGCTGTTCATCTATCTACGTCAGGAGAACGTGGATATGTTTGTTCGTAAATTTGCTTCTGTAGATCTTTGAGGATTGTATCCAATCGAGGAAATATCCTAAAGATAAGAAGACTAAAATCCATCCCGTGATCAGGTATCTCCCTGGTAAAGCAATACAATTCGAGGTTATTGCAGGTAAAAATTCGGATCTCATCTTATAAATGAAGATGTACAGGAAGGTTACGTATGCTGAAATCCGAAGCTTTCCGGATCTCTACATGGCAATGTGATCATGACATGGTCAAGAAATGCCAGTCTTGGTCTTATGCTTTGCTCGCAATGGACAGCTAGACGTAAACCTGTGTCTATCAAGAAACAACTGCATTCTTGAGACGTGGTTGATAATGACTATGGTACGATTTTGGAGCCACACGAGGTGCATGAATCTGGGGAAATATGGGGTATTATCCAAAGTAGTATGTGTGTGCAAATTTGAATGTACATAATATGAAAAATATGTTGGCTTCCAACTAAAGCTTGAAAGGAAAGAGAATCGCCCAAGACCATTAATTGAATAAATGAATACGTCTCCAACTGATGAATTATTGACAAACGCTAAGATAAGTATCGGTACCCAAGACTATAAACCCCACGTACATGCTTGTCTTGCTCTCTTTCAAAGAAACTTTGAGGATGGGTAAAGTAGTTGTGATATATTAATTCTCCCACCGGGCTTGGTGGACTGACTGCAAATCCAAAGCGGAGGGTGACGGACCGAACCGACCGCGGCATGGTCTCATTTTATACCAAGCATTTGTATGAGTACGAGTCCCCATCATTCATACAAGACGCCGCATTTATACAATATGAATGGCGTCTTCATGTTAAACTAAACAGAAGGATTCAGTTTCTATTGTGCTCATGTGTAAGGTGTGAAAGAAATTCCGGGACTTGCTTTTCCTTGGGTTGAAAGTCCCAGGCGTGTGACTCAGCATTAGCATTATTGTACATGGTGCGTCCCTTTTTTGCTATTCTGTGTGCGTGTGCTCTCGTGAATGAACTGTCGCAAAAGTTGTGATGAGTGGGAGAAAGCCTTCATGTCAATTCTGCCTGATCCGGATATTTTAATAATGCGCGAATTTGCTGCCGATGGTGACAATAACCTACAAAGGAGTTATGTTGGCCGATTTTGGCCATGCCGCCGACCTCTGCGTAATGAACATACTTCTACCGATAGCTTCAGGATGTAGCCGCCCACCCTTGTCTCAATACGAGTACGAGATAAATGATATGGGATATGGGATATGGGATATGAGATAGATAGGTACGGCAGTCGATGATCGAATAGTCCAAAGTAGAATTGAGTTTCTCTGGCCGGCCAAGTACAGTAAGTACAGGAGAGGTGTGATTTGCAGAAGGGTATATTGTCCCGATTCCTATCCAGTACACCTCCTTCAGATGATGGCCCTGGAACTACTAATGCGAGGTTATTCGATGCACGTTATCCGGAAGTTAGATGAATGATAAAATTAAAAGTTCGACAACAGCGCTATATCCGTGCCGGTGTACAAATGCAGGTTCTGCGCCTCAGCTCTCAATAGACAAGCCAAAGTACTGAATGGATATCTGCTGCATGGCGGAGATGCTACTGCTTCAAGCGTCGTGTGTACCGGGATGACATTGGTAGGTACTTCCCCATCCCATGTGAGATCTTCGGAAGTGACTCGGAACTTGGAAGTGATGAGTTGGAAAGCGGACACTTGAGCATCCTCCTAAACTCCAGTACGAGGACCGGCTCGAAGGGGAATCGAGACGTAAATCGCGGTAGTTAGTTAATTTGGACCTGTGCTACCCAACCCTGACTCAATTCAAGTTTGTCCCAGAAGGTATGATTTATTATAATAGATAGAATCACAGACCATTAAAAGAAGTAACACAATGTTCAGGAAAACGTGTCTATGGTGTGCTCGAAGCCTGTGATGCTGGTAGAAGTGGAGTGGTGTTTTCGGTTTTGCGGGGAAGCTGTTTTAGATTGTTAATGATATTTTTAATTGCGATTTATGCTGCCATGTATCTGTATCTATGTACATGTACATTGCACACTTTGTATATATCCTTCCATCCCAACTAAGATTTCAACACCTCTGAATGATTGGTTATCAGGTTACATTTCACGAAGTAAAGGGTATTTATTCAAAGCGTAAATCAAGTATTAAAATCGTTGCCCAAGCTAGCTTCTCGCCATTGATTACGCAATCATTTATAGTAAGTCTTAGATGCATTGCTATCTGTACATTTTAATGGTAATGTAGTCAGGGAATAACTCTATTGCAACATCACCGTCTACAATGTTCCCAATATCATTTTGAAATGAAGATTTTGTATTATTCAAATTCTTAAACTGTTGAGTCTTGACGATTCGGAGACAGCATGAATATCTATTTGGATAAGTCGTCGGCAATTTGAAAAGTTACTTGGAGCATCGATGGTTTAAGATCGCGGCTTCAAAATCTCATAGATCTTTCCGAGTTTCGTCAGCATCATGGCTGGCATTGGCGCATTGGAATGATAATCTAAAGATGTTTCGGAAGGGGGCCGTTGAAGATATGACTAGGGGCAGTATAAAAAAGGCTTTCAGATTTCTACTTGAAAGCCGCTTTCCGCTTGCACAGTCTCAGAATCTTACCATCCCGCAATCTAAAACCCAGGCGCTCCAATCATTCATTCATATCATTGGTGAGCATCACGAAGGTTACATGTAGCTTAACTTTAGAAATGCTTGGCGAGACTGTGAAGCTCGCGAGGATTAACCTTCGTCCTTGTTAAGCATCGTGAATCGTGAATCGTGATGCATCGAAGTTAACTTTTATTTCAAGGGACTCGGGTCTAGGGTCCAGAAATAACCCCAGGAAAGAAGAAAAAGCCAAAGTTATGGGCTCGAAGGGCTCACCGTGGGTGATGAGGAATAGGCCCGGGGCTTCACAGGATTTGGACAAGTCATTCAACAAAGCGTCTAGCATCTATTTAGAACGTAAATTTTCAAGCTAAATGGGTCTCAATTGTGGGGTTTGATACGTGATGAAGGGGGAAACTGAGACTAGTAACATTACAGTGTAATGCAAAGATTAGTTATCAGGGACAAGTCCAAGTTGTACTCTATTTCTCGTTCATGAAAAAGACTTACGGTCCTCGCAAATGATGTGGGAAAGCATTGTACATATCCTTGAAACTTTTATGCTACCTTTAATCTTGATTTCCCATTCACCCCCCTTTGCATCGCCTGGCTCACTTCTGCTATGATTGGTAACACAACATTTTGACAGCAGATCAGTGTCCACAGTCTAATCCAATTTATTTCAGAAGAAACAAGGAGACGGGAGAAGTGGGGCAGAAGCTCAGTGCCTTGAATTTTTGTCACGATATATTTACTGCAAGATCTTTCTAGGTACAGCGCAATGAGCGCTTGCGGACGACATCTTTTAACGAGGAGAGGAGGGTGATCCAGTTGTTGTTTTTTTTCCTTTTCTCTCAACCCCAGTATTTCAATTGAGCCACGGTCTCTAATATGGAAAATGGGTCCGTGAGATACTGCATTTCACGCATCTTCACCACAAAGTTTCGACAGGCTCATGATCATCCTGTTTTCTAAGCTTTTAATAAGTGCCTGGTCATTTCCATCTTATCTCCTATTTCTCCTATTCTTATATTTTGCGTTCATCAGAGTTGAATCAAGCAATGAATCAAGCAGTGCATCAAGAGAATTTTATCCTGGATATTTCCCTATTTGACGAACATCTAACTGCACGGGTTTATGATGCACACAAAGCAATGAACTGGCACATAATTATGACTACTAGGTATTTATTCTAGCAGTACTTGACAAGACCATTAGCACCGAGCCTCTCAGAGTCTTATTAGTACTAGGTAGATAGTATAGTGCACCAGTGCCCCGACAAAGCTTGGCGCGGCCTAGTAACAGCTTTTTAGCTTCAACCCTCCCCGCAATCTTCCTAGCAAAGTACCCAGTACATCAGTCCCCTGTCTTTTCTACCTGTCGTACCTCGCTTTTCCTTCGAGAATCTTTTACCTTTTTACCAGGTACTGTACGATACTTCCACCCTTTCTCTTAGCTTGGTTGCAGCTTCCACAGTAACTCAGTAAGTGATCACACCCCCATCTTCCTCTTCCTCGTTGCGACAGGGGCATGACTGCTGTTCTTAACCCTTAACATTTCAACCTCCCCTCTGAGCTCTATCTTTCTTACCTACTCACGAGTCACCACTCACCGATACCAATCATCTCACATACTTCTAATCCCGGCCATCCTTTGCGTTACGAATTACCACGAACGCCACGTCTACTCCAATTTTACATTTCTCTTCCATCAGCGTGAGACTTGAAAGGCTATTTCATAGAATCCAGCGCCATATCATATCATTGTCAACGTTTAACGATCAACCATCAACCATCACCGGTCAATTTATCAATTAATCAACAAAATAGTCTGGAGTATAACCTGGGAGCAGTGGTGCGGTCAAGGAGTATCCGGAGATCGCTGTGATTGGATTACACCTGTGATTGGCGAGCGAATAACAGTTACCATTTCTTTGGAAAAGCGAAAAGCTCCATCAACCCGAGGGTCTGTCGAATAACCTACCCAGCCAACCAGCCAATTCCAAAAAGGGTACTTACTACATACATACATACGTACATTTGTATCGGAGATTATTTCGACAACACAAAACACAAGCAACCACACACACTCGTAATGTTTTGTGGATTGCGCCTCGACCAATCTTTATGATGGGACGAATTTGATTACTGTATTACTGTACAACAATAATTTCTTCTTTCACGTTCCCTTCGCCTGCGAATTTCATTTCGATACCATGTCTGGAAGGCCAGCACAAGTTGGAATTGAACGATTACCCGCACGACGTATGAGCAACGAACCACGAGAATCAATGAATTGTAAATCCTGTAGAAAGAGGAAGGTTAGCTCTACTTTATTATTTTCCGCATAATTCTATCAAAATACTAAAAGTCTCTCCAGATAAAGTGCAATCGGTTGCGACCGACTTGCGAAGCTTGTCAAGTCTTCCAATGCCCTTGTATTTATGGTGGGGTTTATCATTCCGTAAACTTGAATCACTTGGCCCTAATTTCTTCTCAATAGATGCTGTCCCCAAAAAGCGTGGACCTAAAACGGATGTATTGGAAGCTTTATTGAAGAGAGTCGATGGACTGGAAAGAAAGTTGAGAGATGAGAAAAAATCCAACTCTCCAAACAATGATGGAAGTGGTTCTGGTGGGGGGGAAGAGGAAAGTCCGAAGGATGATGTAAAGCAAAGACGTCCTCATCTAGAAACACCCACCTCGAACGTTGCTGATGAATCAGCTGTATACTCTCCATCATCGATAAGGTATGTAGCTTATATCCTTATCTACAACTTCCTTTTAAATTGACACATCCCCAGTGCACCTTCACCATCAGTTCAGCAAGATGTCCTTTTGGATACCTACTTTGTTCGATGTCATGGCAAATCTTACCATATACTTGACGAGACTTCTATCAGACAACGAATTCAGGCGAATGAAATCCCAACATATTTACTTTACGCAATTTATGCTGTTAGTGCAAGGTGTGTTGGAAATATCGGTATAGATATTCAAATTGCTAACTATTCTCAAGATATACTTCTCATCCAAATGGCTATTTTGCTGCAGTGAGATTAAGTGAAGATTATGCCCATCGAGCAAGAGCAGATGTAGACATTGATGAACCCTCCATCGATACTTTGCAAGCTCTCCTACTTCTCGCTATCTCGTATACTGCATCTGGAAGAGGAAAAAAGGCATATATGATGTTCGGTACGTGCCTCTGACCTTTCTAAGCAATGGACACTTCGCTGACCATAAATAGCAAATGCTATTGGAATGGCTGTTGCGCTAGAGCTCCACCGTGAGCTGGATCAAACGTTACGAATTAGTCCTGTGGAGAGAGAATTACGACGAAGACTATTCTGGACTTGTTATTTGATGGATAGATTTACAGCATGCGGATCAAAGCGACCTTCGTTAATTGGTGATAAATCAATTTTGTTACGATTACCCTCATGGTCACCTAATTCAGCCACTCTTCCCGTCCAAGGGGAGTTCTTCCAAAGTGGATCAAACCTTCATTTCGGCAGCGGAAAGAGGAGTCAAGGAAGCAGTGGAATGCTCATAGATATTGGGAGGATATTAGGAATTACTAATCGCTATCTTGCTGCTGGCGGTGTAAAAGGCAGGTTTTGCAATAATCACCCAAGTTCATCAACTATTCATTATATGAATACTAATTGTCGTGTTGTGAAAACAGGCGACTCCCACTTCCCATGGCATTCATTATCGAACCTTTCAAAGATTCGCCAAGACTTGGATATATGGGCTGGTGGCACTCAGGATGTCTTTACATCTGTCGATACACTTTTTGGGCAACCGGATAGCACGACTCTTGTCCTTAGTAAACTTATTTATCATCTAATACATTGCCTAATATACCGACCTTTCCTTCCTATCGACCTTGCCGAGCTAGCTGGAACCGGGCAACATCAATCTTGGCAAATTGAAGCCACAAATCTTTGTTTCCTCCACGCAAACGCGATTGCGGAACTGGTTGAGCTTGGAAAACAATCCGCATCCATAGAATGGCCGGACTTTGTCGGATATTGTATTTGTACGGCCGCCACCGTTCATGTTCACGGAACTCACTACAAAGGGGCGCGCGAAGGCGAAGTCTTTTCCGCTTCAGCTGATTTTCTTTCCCGAGAAATGCAACAACTTTCTGAGCTTCGATATGCATGGTCCTCTGTTCAGCATCAACGAGAAACCCTACAAACGATATATGGTTGTCATTCTGAGTTAGTGAAGAGTCTTGGAAGTAATCCAATGCGCTTTAGTCCAGTATTCCATCTGGAAGACTTTTTTGATAGGTATAGTGACTTGGGCCAATACTTTGATGGGGCACACATTAGTTTTTCGGATGTAGTGGCGCCTAGCCCTGAAGCATTTCAAGGGCATGACCTTTATGCGCCGACTCGAGCAAATAGGAATGGTTCCATGAGTAGGAGAGCAGGCTCTAATGGTTCAAATGATTCGGGTGCCGTTGCCGCAAAACGCAAATCTCCGTCATCCGCACGAAAACGTGCTCTGACTAATAGTCTGAAAGACAGACCTTTGATGTCGCCGAATGGTCCAAATAGAAGAACGGTTGAGCAGTTGCCTCTACCACAAAACGGCTTACTTGGTCATGATACCCCATCTTATCCCAACGAAAGTTCGATTCCCACACTTTCACAAATCCCCTTTTCGCCACCGAACCAAAATCAACCACAATCATACAATTTTTCACCATCTCTTTCCTTGAATCACGGCCAAGAATCAAATTTTGAACCAATGTTTGGAATGCCACATCTAGGGAGTGGCGGAAACTTTTCGTTTGGAGGAATGGGCGGAACAAATGGGGGTATGATGGGAGAGGAAGGTATGACACCAGGAGGAAGGTCAAACAATGGAAGTACGGGAACAAGTGGCGAAGAGAAAGACCCTTTCCTTACGTTGCTAGAACAGCTTGCGGAAAATGAACAACAGAGAGGCGGCCCAAGTGACCTAGACTTCTTTTTGGGTGGCGGCCAAGGTTGAAAAAGTAAACTTGGTACATACATAAGTACAAGGACAGTTTCTCTAAGACGAACGGAATATGTTCATATGGCGAACAAATTGATACTCTGTCAAATTCCTTCGAATTTCCTCTTCCGATATCGAAGTGGGTGACACAGAATCATCAAGAGTGTGGAAGAAAGGAGGAAAATGAATTTACACAGACAAGGAAGAGACAAAATAAAGGACTACAAGATATTTACGGCGGTGGTGAAAAAAGACCGGCGAAGGAAATCAAAGGATGGACTGGCTTTCAAGGGGATTGCATCGCGAATGTGCATACAGAAGTTGGAGCCGGGATAGATTACGTACGGATAGGCACAGTACGATTGGGGACATGAAAAAATAAAATATAGGTACAATAGGGGAAAGGACGGGGAGTTTTCGGATTCACGTTAAATTATGAGGAGGTCTAACGATGGGAGTTTTTGTGATTACTGAGCGATAGGAGAGTCCATGATCGCCACCTACTAAAGGTGTAGAAGCGACGTTTAATGTATATATTGCTGCTCGACGAGCATCGGCTTTGTCCTTTTGTGGCGTTCTGACTTCGAGAGGCTGTACTATCACCCTTCGCCGAACGCACCGAAAACAAGGTTACTGTCGTCCCTAATCAGGTACACAGCTTCAATCATTGAGTTCACCCAGGGGAACACATGGCAGGATTGTAAAATTCGAATCTATCCACTGTCATCTTCAGTTATTACATGAGATATCGAGCCCGTGTCACTCTACCACATCCAGCAGTCAGCATTCAATAATAGCAAACTTCATTGTAAATAATTCACTCCACAACTCTTCTCGCGCTTTCCGGACATAATAATGTCACAGAGCCTCATCGCCAGCCTCGAATTGTGCAAGCTAGGAGAACCAAATTGTCCCACTACCCATCAAACTCACTCATCCCACTTCTGATAAACAGTTACCATGCCTTGCAGATTGTCCACCCAACTGCATATACGAGTTTATCTACACGTTTGGCACTTAGCTGCACGCTGCACACTGCACACTGGGCACCGTTGATGTGTCTTGCCGTCCCCCACACACAATGGGGGGCTGTAAATTAAAATGCTGTGGGACCTTAGGGTGCGGATAAGCACGTGCTTAGAAATTGAGCGATTTTGAGGGAAAGGGTGGGAATCGGACCGATGGAGTTGATTTACGGTTCTCTGCTTGGTAGGGAGTTTTGGTGGGTGGACGCACGTTAGAGGAAAGCGGAGGGACCCTTTCTTGGAGGGTTTACCCCGCGTTGCAAGCGTTAATTGGGGATGGGACGGGTTTTGGTGGACTACGGAGTTAGAGATTGAGGGCAGGCGGCGGGGAAAGGGTACATGACCTTGTACTTTAATTAGTTAGGATAGTAGGAGTATTTCGCCCTCACTGATGAATCTCTATACCTAGAGTGGGGCGGACACACAGATTGATGTCGGCACCGAGCGGAGGCACGAAATATGGTAGTGTGGATTTAAAAATTTGAGTTGCGGGAGCTGCAATTGAGTGAAGTTGCATGGAGGATTGAAGCTGACAGACAGGTTGAGCCTAACTGAAATTAGAGTTTTAATGCCTTTGCTCGCAAAGACTTGTTATTTGGGCAACTTCCGAATAGACTTTATTACAAAAGCCCAGTTTGAATGATCAAGGTTTTATTGATGTCGAAGAGTGAGTTAGGAAATGCTTGATCTACCTACCTATCTTTGAGTCATGATTCGTTTTGGAGGAGGGAACTTTTCATCAGACATCCGTGATTTTTGTAGGCTCGGTAAACGACACATAGGGGATGTCTTAGATACATGTAAGATAGATAGATACCCGACGACATGATCAAATGAAGTGACGCACGATACCATGACATGAGATAAAGCCATGCTTACTCTCGAGACTTTTAGAGTTTTTGAGAGTGTCTAGGTATGCCCAGCGGTAGGGCAGTGCTGTCGTCTCAAATTGTGAGTTCGTTTGAGAACATCAGATGAAAATGATTTAATATTGGAGAATGATATTGGCATCGTATACCAACCAAATTGAGCCAATTAAAGAAGGGTGATTTAAACCTGGGAATGCCTAGAATGGTATTGAGTGCTTACATCAAACCTTCTTGGCATTCAACATTCAGGAACAAAGTTCTGAAGTTTGGGCCGCCTCTTTACTTGACATATTCTACGGATTCTTGCTTCAAGAAAAGATGACACTGTTGATTAAATAATCATTGAATGATCTGTGATCCTCTTATTGGTTCCTGATCTTTGAGTCCATCGTGCCAAAAGATTTCAATCATCCAAGTTTTCTGTAGAGAAAAATCGGTGATAAAAGGTAATAAATTCCAAAGTTCACTAAATCTTCGGAGAAAGCAAAGAAATAAACAGATGGATGGGGCAAAAAACAATGAACAAATAAATGAGCAAGTGATGCATAACTATTCTTAAAGGGGTCATCCACGCAAATTAACCGAGGGACTGAAGTTTATTAGTAACTTACGTCACTCCCCTCAACCGTCATTCCCTTGAAAATCTCATCAGCTGCCAATTTCCCACGATTCAAGATTTCACACCCAAAATGTTGTTTTTGCTACCAAGCGAACGGGAAATGATAAACCATATCTATCATAACTAAGCACAAATAAGGTTCGCTGATACATATTTTTATTCTTTTGCGATGCTACTTTTCCATTTGTCTAGTCATAAAACCTAATACTCCGTACCTAAACCTAATACCTACCTACGTATGCGTGTAAGTTTTACAAGTTTTCATTGAGGATCATCAGTAAGAGCGTGCAGGTAAGAAAGCTTTAACAAAAATTTCACATCTCCATTATTTCACACCACAACCCGCCCCAATGTCGACCGCTCAGCCATGGCATCCCGAACTACTGGGGTCAATCTATCCAAGGTCTTGCCCTGCATTGGTTGAATTCAAAACTTTTAGTCCGCCAATCCGCAAATAAGTCGAATCCCAAATCTTGATGAGGGAAATGCCGGGGTAAACGGCCTCCTCGAGCTACTGCCACAAGCGTGTGATGGAGAATCGGGACCCGGAAAAAAGGAATCGCAGGGCTTTTGAACGTCTATCCACCTGTTTGATCTGATGCCCAGACCTTCCACCGCTCTATCATCATATCGAATCAACTTCGACCGATACCTACACGGAAGAATTAATACGACAAGAGAAGAACACTACTACTGCTCGAGAAGAACTATTACTACTCGTCCTTCGACATACTCATAACGATTGTAGTGTAGGACCATTTGCGCCATATTTGATCTGAAAAAGCCGGTTGGCATGCACGAAAAGTAATTCGAAAATTCGGCACATTGGCGAATACGAATCAACGAGTTGGATTGAAAGAAAGGATTGGATCGAAGGAGGGGAGCATAGCACAAATCGTGTTTGCTTGCCTCGCGGGGATACATTGGGCGCAACTTTCACCGATCGGAAAAGTTGTATTTCGATATTATACTGGTACATCCGAGAATGGATATACGGAATTCATCACATTCGACCTAGGAGCGAAATATGACTTGAAAGTCAAAAGTCAAGACGAACGAATTTGAGGCAGAATATATATACAATGTCGACGTCGATAGATTCTTTACAATCGCGCAGTGATGTGGTTTTTTGGGTCACTACTATTACCTTTATCCTTGCGAGTATATTTGTGGTGGCAAGGTTGGTGAGTCGATTTGGAATTTTGGAATCGAGAAGTTGGGATGATTGGTTTATCATATTGTCGTGGGTGAGATAAGACTTTTTTTCTATTGAGTCAAAGGACATACATACTGAGTGAATGATTTGCTAACATTCGTGGTTTCAAAGTTTTTTGCATTTGGTTTAACCTTTGCAATTGATTATGCAACAACTAAAGGCCTGGGAAGACTTGATGGTGATATCAAGGACGAATGGCGCCCTGGCTTGAAGAAAGCAGAATATGCATTCACGTTACTTTATGTAAGTGGTGAATCTTAAAGATTGACAAGGCGCGCAATCTCTAACGTTTATTACAGAACCCATGTTTGATGGCGACAAAAACTTCAATTCTCATCTTCTACCTTCGCTTGAGTAAAGATACCCAAAAACTATTGAGATGGGCTTCAGGAATCACGCTTGCCGTCGCCTGTGTAGATGGTATAGTTCTTACTTTTGTCAATGCATTTCAGTGTAAACCTGTTGCTGCTGCGTGGAGGACAGACGGAGATGGGAAATGTCTTTCGATCATCACCATCTATCTTGCATCAGCTCCTGTGAATATCATTACAGACTTAGCCATATTGGTTCTACCAATCCCTGTTCTCACTGGAATGTTCCTCCCGCAGAGACAAAAAGCCATTCTGGTATTTACATTCTCCTTGGGAATTTTCGTTGCAATTGTCGATGTTATCAGGATATATTATTTACAACAAGCCTCGAACAACTTTTTAACATCGGTTTTGCTTCACTCGAAGCTGGGCGCGGGAGCGGATTTTCCCTACAACGCTTCACTGTCATTTATGTGGTCCGCTGTCGAAGTTAACATTGGAATTGTGTGTGCTTGTATTCCTACTCTGAAGCCACTCGTCAAACGAATATTACCAGCGATGATTTTGGACCGAGCATCCGGGAGGAGAGGCTCACGCACCCATACAACGGAGAAATTCGAGTCGGCGAGTCCTCAAAGTGGCGGCGATGTTCAATTAGATACTGTAAATAACATGGCATCACCAACAACCACTCCGTTGGGCCTGGTATCCGATGCTTCCCCATCGCCATTATCAGATACTCATCCTGGGGGACATCGAGAAGACATGGAAGAGGAAGAACTCAGCATGGCAGAATTCTTAACAGCTCCTGCAGGTTTCGGCTTGCAAACTTTGCGACGAAATTCGACAGCACGTACAACCAATACCACTTACTTTGGATTTGTCAATATGAGAGTTCCAAAGTCAATGATGAAGACGCGTGGAAAGGAAGCTTTCAAATATTGCACCATGGTGACCATTCTTTTCTTCCTTTGGGGTTTCTCATACGGGCTACTCAATAGATTAAATAACGAAATTGCAATCCTAGCCAACTACTCAGAGAGCGAAACCATAGGATTATCTGCTGCATATTTTGGAGGATACGTAATTGGAGCCCTAACAGTGGGGCAATGGGTCTTGAGACATAGTGGGTTTAAAGCTACATTTATTTCGGGACTTTGTATTTACGGGACTGGAACATTGATGTTCTGGCCCTCGGCAGTTTTGACATCATTTACTGGATTCATCCTGTCCAGCGTAGTTGTTGGACTTGGTTTATCCATTTTAGAAACTGCCGCAAATCCATTCCTGGCTTTATGTGGTCCGACTCAATATGCTGAATTCAGATTAATGCTTGCGCAGAGCATACAAGCTGTCGCATCACTGGTTAGTCAAGTTCTAGCGGAGAAAGCCCTTTTTAGAGGAGTTCGAATTGAGAATGAAAAGCATTTAACTTTGATTGATGTTCAATGGACCTATCTCGCCATTGCTCTCTTCACCGTCATTCTCGCTCTCTTTTTTTATTATATGCCTCTCCCCGAGGCCTGCGATGAGGACCTTCAAGCACAATCGGATCTTCTCGAAATATATCCAACAAGAAAGTTACCCTGGACCGGCACATCGATCATTTATACGACCCTGGTCTTTGGCGTTGTATCGCAACTCTGCTACGTTGCTGCACAAGAATGCGTATCGGAATTCTTCAAGCCATTATTAGTTTCCTATGTTCCTAGTTCTAAGAGTTTCAAATCAGTCTTCACATTACATGACGATGAGGATTATCTCCTATTAGGCCATGGACTTTTTGCCATTGGTCGTTTCGCCTTTGCACCACTTTGTTTGATGTTTCCACCACGGCTTCTCTTACTCATGTGTTTCTCATTTCTTACCTTGTTCTCGGCTTTCATCTTCGCTATCAACGATATATCACCATCTTTCCTTGCTGCATCTTCTCTTTTAGTTTTCTTTTTCGAAGGACCAATTTTTCCACTCGTCTTTTCATTGACCATTCGCGGTATGGGAAAGGATACAAAGTGGGCGTCAGCATGGGTTGTGGCGTCGGCGACTGGTGGCAGTGTATTTGTATTTGTTACTTTTGGTGTGCAGAAAATTCACACTGTACAATATTCTTTCGTAATTATTTTTGTGTTATTTTTGGTAGGGTTATTATACCCTGTGTACTTGAATTTTGGGGGTAAGGGTGTAAGACATCAGGTTGATCCGAAAGCTATGAGAGTGGGTCGAGGGTTCTGGAACGGCAGTGGAGGAAATGAAGAAGATGGGCCGGAAATGAGGAATGGTTCAGCTGAGAGATCGGATACAGCTCTTCGAAGATTAAGTCGTAGGGTGTCTATTCTAGTTCGAAAGATTAGCCCTACTGGAAGGAAGTGCAGTAGTGAATTGCCAATTGTAGAGCATAGGGAGACGAGAGATAGAGAGGATAATAGCGGATAAATGAATTGGGAAAGGGTAGGGCGGGACGGGTTTGATTTTTCACACTTGAGATTTAGCGGGAGTTCCAGGCATCGGATAGGATAAAGTCTTGGTTAGACAGACAGGTCACTCGGTAATGAGATATAAAGGATGGGAAAATTTGGACACGGAAGGACAAGAATACCCGGAATATGGTCGAGATCGACTAGAAGGACTCATGAGTTTTCATTACAGACTAAAGCTTTTAGGCTGAGGCTGATTTTTGTCTTGACTTTTCTTTTTATCATGTCCAGCTCCTGACTGGCTAGAATTTGCTATCTGTATGTATATACTAGGTAGTTTACTTTGTTTGTAAGCTTATAATTGAAGACGGCGGTCATTTGACTTGTTACTTATTAGTGTCCATTGCTTTTAAGTTGAGTATGGCTTATAATTTTGTATTGTGCGGAGTATAAAGCATAAATTCCATCGAGGAAGAGGATGATCGAATGGAAAAAATGAGAGGATGATGGTTGGAAGTAATTCCCGTATACTTTAGCAAACAATTAGGATGATTGCCAGTTTCTTATTTCTTGATACAATTTTTCAATTCTTCTATCCTGATCATATGGATTTTATCTCTACTATTTTACCTCTACCATTCTCATCTACCATTCCATCTCAACACCCACCTCTCCTACCCCATGCAAGTACATTCATTCTCATTATCCCTAAATCCTAACCATCTCCTAATCATCTTATCATCATCATCATCATCATCATCATCATCATCATCATCATCTAAATCACAAACCCCCATTACCCTCCCTCCCTCCCTCCCTCCCCGTCCCCCAAACTAATTCAAAGATCTATCTCAAATCCCAAGAATAACAACCTCAAATCTTATCTTTCATTTACCAAAACGTGGTCCTCACCCTTACCATTCCATCGCTTCATAAATCGATATATATATACATGTATAACTTCTCAAAAATATAAAAAATATTATCCCCTCCGAGTCGATCAATCAATCAACCAACCAACCAACCAACCAACCAATCAATCAATCAATCAACTAATCAATTTCTGTAGTTTTTGCAATATAACCCAACCTTAATAAAGTTATTTAATACATTGTTTGATTTATTTTCCCATAATAGTGAAGTCTCGCTACGTACGTATACCTCGAAACAAAACTACCTACGCATTGGATTTATCTATCACTCGCACTTTCTAGCGCATCCCCTTTCCCGATTCTCTTCTGCATATATCACATCATATCACATCAAAGAATAATTCTCCCCAACTACCAGCTTCCACTCCTGTGACTCCTCCTGTGATTAAAAATCTAAATTATCTTATTTACCAGCCCGTATTTAATCCTAAACTTTTTGTCATGTCATGTCATTGTTATGTTATGTTATGTTCTCCAGCCTAATTGTCTAATCCATCTCTATCTTCTTATTCTCTATCTCTCTCTCTCTCTCTCTCTCTCTCTCTCTCTCTCTCTCTCTCTACACGTCTGTACTAAGCTATTGAGTTGATCTATTGCTAAGGATGGGATAGAGAGAGAGTAGCCCCTCCTATTACAATGCATACTTGTGCTCCACTGAGTGAGTACTTTAGTTTATATCTCTTAATATGTTATGCTCAGCATGTAATCATCAGTATCGGTCAAGTTGTCAGTAGTCAAATAGCCAGCAGTCAAACAGCCAAACAATCCCACGACGATAAATCTTCAAATTTCATCCTTTTCATTCATTCTCTACCACCAATACCTACTCATCCTCTTCATGTGTATATCCTTAGGTAAAGTAGTGTATGTACATAAAGTACAATACAATACAATAATTCAAAGCCGATAATCCCCTCAAGCTTTCATATCCATCCTATCCATCTTCTTTCTCATCCAGTCTGACTCCTTTCTCATCTAACTACATCAACTTGATGAAAAGTGCACGCCAACACCATATCCATATTCGTCCAAATCCACGTAAGAAAGCATTAACATTAGTTCCTCAACTCCATTTCCTAGTTTTCCCCCTGGCCCTTCCCACACCCCTCATCCACCACAATCTAGAAACTCATCCACCCAAACATACCCGTCATCCCCAAAAGTACAACCGTAGTAACAATTCCGGCACCCACTCTATCCCCCGTATTCGGTGGTGAAACCGGATCCAAAGTACTCGTGCTACCACTTCCTGCGTCAGGATTTCCCACACTTGTTCCTCCAGTACTATTCGTAACTGGAGCTTGAGTTTTCTGAACCAAATTTGAAAATATCACACTCATGGCAGCCATTTGTTGTCCTACTCCAGAGGTTCCATCCCAATCAGTTCCTTTACTCCAACTTAATCCACATGTTCTACCATTGAATGGACTTGAACCTGAACATTGTTGTGCAGCTGCAATTGCAGATGCTCTTAGATATGGCATAATCTTTTCATAAGTGTAAGGTGCCATTTTTGTCGTTGCAGCCAACCAGCGGGTGAGGTATGCTTTAAAGGAAAACATATCAGTTGTACATGAAAGCTTTGCCTCGCATGCGATTTCGTAGGCGATGTCATTAGTGGGAAAGAAGTTCCTAAAGGTAGCATTGAGTAGTCCATCAACACGTTCTCTCCAAACATCAGAGCCATTCGTCTGTTTGTATGTTAGTTTACATATTTTAGGACACAAATCAGAGATAGGAGAGAAGAGTAAAGAACATACATAATTGTACATGGTCGCTGCACCAAGTAAATAAACCCCCGAATTATAAGAGAATTGAACCTTATTAATATCCGTACAGTTCTTTTCAATGTGAGCACCATCATAAATATTATATTCCTTATCCATGTATCCAGCATTTGTGACCCAATTCCATGTTTCTTCGGCATACTGAGCGTAAGTTTCGTTGTTCGTATATCTCGCGAGTCTCGCCCCAATGTTGAAGAAACATCCATTTGCGATAGAATTCTTATAATCGTATCCTGTAAGATATGGATAAACTTGCCAACGTAAACTATCAATCATTAGTCTTGCGCAGTACCCAATCTCAAAAATACAAGAACTTACCCTCCACCACAAGTAGCATTATCAATTCTCACAGCTTGAGTATTGAAAACCGCTTGAGCTAAAGCCAACCATCCAGGTCTTCCAGCAGGAGGATCCGGGAATTTCAATTCCGCTGCACTCATAGCTGTCATTCCCCAAAAACCTTGATCATCATTTCCCATAGACTGTGACCAATTCGCAGGCATCATATCATTATTTGCTCCAGTCTGCCATTGAATCCCCGCCATCGCATCGTCATTATAAGATGAATCCCCAGTATAATACCAATAATCGATAAGAGACCCCCACATTGCACCAGATTCCCACCAATAGTCTAGAAAACGAATTCTAATCAGTTTGAAATTCCTTCTTGATATCGTATATGCTTTTGCGCAAGTCCGAAAAGAAAAGGAAAGATTCTAAACTTACAACCCCAACTAGGATCTGGTGGAGGTCCAGGTAAAACTCCAGGTATCCCTCCTGATTGATTTCCCTTATAATATGTCATCATATCGTATGCGATTGTAGCAGCCGCATTTTTAATTGAAGCTATAGTGAAGAAAAGAAGAATTGGTTAGTAAATTGAAATCCATGAGTGGAAACCCGTCGATGTACACTTACTATCATCATCTATATCTAATTGAATCTCGGCATGAACCACCAAGGAACCAAATAGAACCGCTGTTGTAGCTGTCAAAGCGAAAGTGGAGAGCATCTTGTCGCAGGGTTGTATTTGTAGAAACTGTGTAAAGTTTGTATGTATTGGAGAGCTGATGGTGAAGAGTTCTTGATCCTTCAGAGTTGAAGGATTCACCCAATCTTAGGATATCTTCAAGAAAATCCAATCAATCCAGAAACGAATGGACGTCAAATACTTCTATTTACAATTCTCGTTATGATGAGAATACATCAATATAGAGAGCAAGTCATTTGAAAGACTCTAGAAGGAGATGACAAATAAAGTGAGACGAGAGGTAATAGAGTACAGGAAGAGACGAGGAAGAGGAAGAGGAAGAGGAAGAGGAAGAGGAAGAAGAAGAAGAAGATTGGCTGTAAGTTGTAAGTGAGAGAGTTTCTAAATCAAGGTCTTATTTCAGAAATCGGATGATAGATAGATATTAAGGCTATTGGACAAATTCATTTGAGGATAAATAAAAAGAACAAGGTTCTTGTAGCGCTTTCACTTTCTATTTGGTGTTGAATGGATTTTTAACCTTCCTTATAAGCACAGCCTCTCATCCAATTTCATATCACGAAAGTTCCAGTACGACGTCTATTACGTCTCTAAAATATTATATATCAATATTATATACCAAAATACGTATTCATCCTATCAATGGGGGCAACCCCCAAACCCCCATAGCTCGCTGCGCTCGAAGATATAAGATATAAGATATAAGATACAAGATTACCCACGTACAATACATTGAAAATATTCTGCCTCCACGGCAGTGGCTCCCAGAGGGCCAGCGGAGCGTCATTTACTTCATTCAATCCATGATGAACATAGCATATACAAGACCCAACATCAACCCAACAAACAAAAAAGCTTTCCAAATTGACTCACCAAAAACCCCCCAGCGTAGCCAAGAAACCCTGAAAAATTCTTGTGCATGCACCATTATCTTATTTCTTTCGTATTGTCAGGGTCCAGCCCACATCAATAAGCTTATCTCGATCTATCTACTCCGTAAATATCCAAACATTTCCAGGCTACCCTATGAACGATTAGGTATCATAGAATTATGGAGTACTTACCGACAGTTATCTCCATACATCATGATGAAGTTGTGGAGCGCGCGGGGTTAATTACATGAATACTTCATTGATTTACACCACATAGCCAGCCCACGGTTAAAAAGATGGTTGGGTTCATTAAGCTCCAAGTTTGAAGCAGTGAAGCTTGAAAGGAGGTAAATAAACAAAACCACTAGAAGGCTTAAGAGCTTACTCCCGTCCGGTAACAACTAACTATTAACTAAACTAAACTAAACTACTATAACTACTATAACTACCATAAACCCATGAACCCCAAAACCCTTCCCCTTAACATCCATTGATCCATCCATCCATCACTTACACATTTAGAAATAGTACCTAAGATAACCTACCTAACCAGCGCAAAATCCTCCATTACCCCACAAATCCCCCCAAATCAATCAGGGAAGAAGATATTACATACCTACTAGGTAGTATACTCAATATCATATCATACCTACAATCAATACCTACCTACCAACCTACCTACCAACCTACCTACCTAGCATTTTACAAACAATTCCCCATCAACCACACCAACCACACCCACCCACCCAAAATCTCAACTCTTATAACCTCAACCCCCTAGGTTAATTATTTTCTCTATCACGACCTGACCTGCCCTGACCGACCTAATACTCTAAGCGCCAACTTTCCCCTCTCCCTCTCTCCTCCTATACGAAATCCAACCCTAAATCTCATATGAAATAGATATCTAATAAACAGTAAACAATACCTACCTAACCATACCTAATTAATATAAACAAACAAAATAAATCTTATATCTTATATCTTGAGAATATAATTAAGACTTTAAAACTTCAAAACCTCGACCCTTCATCCATCCCATCCATCTTCATTGATCCTCCATCCTTCATTCTCATCCCTCACTCCACAGCCAGCCCTACATTTGACCTCTCCTCCTCCTCTTCCCCTCTCTCTTCACTCCCTCCCTCTTCACCCTCCCTCTCTCTTCCTCCCTCCCTCTTCCCTTCCCTCTCCCCTCCGCTTCCCGTCTGGAATAGAAAAGGAAGATCTACGCAGTACACCTACGCACGTTTCATCATTCCCAGTTGGAATGTGGGCGGACATGTTTGATTGATTATGACGACACTTGATTCATGCTATGGCTTTGTCTGATGTAGAATCTATTCCACGTGTCGAGAGAAGAGCCTGTATCTTTTATTAGATAAACAAAAGTAATCTGGAATAAAGGGGCGATGTAGAATTCCATCGGCATCTCCGAACGAGAATCTTCATCCATCTAATGATACATAAATACATCCTAAAAGTATCACAAACGCAAAAGCACACATGCATCATAATATTCCTCAAAACTTATAAAGATTCATTAAAGTTCAATAATTTTCAATTGTTTGTTAAAAGGAGTGTCTCATGGTCTAATTTAACAATAATCCACTCAATGTCATGTTTGTTTAATGTAAAAACTCCATCTATCGCGTCATTGTGGTATTAATCCGCCACCAAAAAAAACAGATGTCGCAAGGTAAAAGCAAAAGCCAAACAACCATAATTCTCCCATTTTAATGCTACCCATTTAATGCAATCCACTCATTCTTCCCATAAACACAACTTATTTCATTTACAAAGCAGCTGCAACGGCAAAGACAGCTCCAAGAGCTAGAGCAACAGATCCCGTAAGGGATGCTGCACCACCGGTCGACGAGGATGGAGAAGAAGAGGATCCCGATGATCCTGATCCGGATCCAGACGATCCCGAGGTGGATGTTCCTGTAGCACTTGAGCCCGATGCAGATCTGAGAGTAGAAGCAGTGTAAGTACCGTTAGTTGATCCACCAGATGAGGAACCTGCTGAACCTGTTCCAGTTGGGGCAGCAGCACCAGAGACAGCAGAAGAAGAGATACCGGCTCCCATACCAGAAGGAGAGAGACCACTGCCGGCAGAAGCGACAGATCCTCCAGTGGCGGCAGATGCGAGAGATGAGGCAAGACCGCTGGTGGCCTTGGAAGATGCAGAGGCAGATGCAGTAGATGAGCTGCTTGATGTAGTGTTGGAACAGCTGAGATCGAACAATGGAGTGGTGCTCAAAGTGCTACCAACGATACCAAAAGATGGAGTGACGGAGCCAGCAGCATTTTGATCTTGAAGAGTGTACCAGTACATGTTGATCTTTCCAAAGTTAGGGCATCCAACATCATCCCAGTATGTCTTGGCGTTAGCAGTGCTTGGAACACCATCACCAGCCGTAGCACCAGTAACGGGCCATCCAGTCTCAGTAACCCAAACGGTCTTTCCGGTAGCAGATTGTGTAGCGGCCAATGCGGCATTGAAGAGAGACTTTCCTTCACTGACTCCATTTGCCTCGGAATCTTGGAAGTATGGGTAACTGTATAAATGATTTGTTAGTTACCAGTAGCAATCAAGAAATGGGAAACTTACGCATCCATTCCAACCCAGTCAAGAGCCTCGGCGACAGCGTTGTTAGATCCGTTGACCCAAGAAGTCCAGGTATCAACATGTCCAATGGAAGCACCACTCAAAGCAGTACCAGAAATTGCATCTCTAACTTGCTTGATGTAGTCGACAAGGTCGGCGGGGTTGGCGCCATATCCAGCCTTGGCAGCGATACCAGTTGGGGAGTTTCTGTATAAATCCTCGGATCCTACAGAGATACCAACGACACGGCTTGTGAAAGCTGAACCGTATTGTGTGATGGCTGTCTTGAGAGCGTTGAGCTCAGCAGCAAATCCGGCAGCTCCACCAGATGCCCATAAACCGAGGAGAAGAGTTGTATCTGAGGCAATAGCGGCTGGGATAGCTGAAGTTGGACCAGTGGTAGAACCTTGCTGTAAAAGATTGTCAGTGTCTACAAGACCAAGAGAGATTCTGAAAACTTACGATCATGGTGTATAATCTGGCACTGGTGAAACCCGAGGTACCAACCAGAGAGTTGGCAGCCTCGAAAGCAGCCTGGAAATCCGCTTGAACTCTGTACGATCCATCTGCGTTTGTTGCACCATAATTGAAACCTTGGTTAACAGCAGATGCGGTTGAGAGCGAAGCCGCAATGGCGAAGAGAGTCTTTGAGAGCATGATGATTATTATTGTATTGTTGTTGATATGTTAATCAGCGAATGGATGATGTTTTGGTAATTGGATGGATGAATTCCACAATTAAGAGAGAATAAGTCGAAAATTGATGGATTATGATGAGTGAGTGAGTGAATAGAAGAAGTCGAAAGTCGATGAGCTCAAGAAAAGATGGAATCGAGTCGATGGTCGTGGTATATTATTAAAAACGAAGGAACGATTTACAAAAAAATCTTAGTAGAGGAGGAGAGACTTGAAATGATCAAAGTCTAGCAGCAGTAGTAGTAGTACTAGTAGTAGTAGTAGTAGTAGTAGTAGTAGTAGTAGTATGTGGCAAAAGAGTGTTGGATGGCCGTAAGAAAGAGGAAAGAGAAGGAAGGTCTGGGATGGGATGGGATGGGATGGGAAGAAGAGAAAAGCTTCCAAGCCTCAATTACATAGGGATTATTTATTTATTGGAGGGTGACTACCTTGTAAGGGAAAACTGGGGGTTTTCAAATCCAGGATTGAGCAGCAGTATCAAGCTGGTAGCATTGATTGGATTAACTAGGGTTGAGTAGGGTTAAGTAGGGTTGACTAGGTAGGGAGGATATACTCCGGACGCCGTAGTAAGGAGAAACAAGGGAGACAACTACTACGAGGGAGGGAGACACTATGAGGTTCGAGGTTCCTGTTACGGTATTAGGCATTACCTTAGCACCTTAGCACCTTAGCACCTTAGCACCTTAGCACCTTAGCACCTCACCACCTCTCACCATCTATGTCCAGAGTATGATCTTACCATCCTACCATCCTACCATCCTACCATCTTATTACCCTGTTGGATAATCCGCATTTGACGAACTATAGCAGTCGACCGATGGCTTACCAGGATGGACAGCGCCACTTTTCTTCCTCGTTGGATCCACTCCCTCCTTCAATGCTCCAACCAAATTTCCATCTCTCCGGGATTGAACCTCCACCCTTTGCTTTTTCCTTCCAGTCGTGATCAATAATATGACAAAGCAATACGAGTAAACACGATGCCTGCCACATTGCCAAGTCAAGATATTATTCTGGGGATTTCTTGGATTTTCTGGGGCAAACGAAGTCCTGAGTCCTGGATCACTTACTCCGTGTACCAAAATCAAATATCACGAAAAGAGGAAGAGGAAAGGAGAGAAACACTGTCCCTAGGAAATAATAAATAATTTATGGACCAACCAACGATCATATTCATCATGATGGCCTTTGCATTCTGGGACCTGCATTAGCTTTTTTGGGTCGCTTGCGTATGCATAATCCTGTGATAAGTGTGATTGGACACCGAGTCGAGACATTTTGATGCTGGCCACGGTGGCCCTGGTGGCCCCGATGGTCATGTTCGTGTTGTTGTGTGTGTTTGTTTATCAATGAACTGAATGCATCGCCGCCCTCGTACAATCCTTTTACTGCTTCATAATTTATTACGTCGTACGGGGTAGTTGACTTCATGTTGATCTATATTCTCGTATACGGAGTACTCCGCAGTAGAATATACCGCAACGGAAGAATAGCACCAAAGCGAAAACTACCTAGTATCATGGACAGACAAACGGCTGTAGACGGTACTAGACGGTATCAACAAGATCACTCGACCGCTCGGTATCCATACCTACCTAGGTGAACAATAATAAGTCATGTTGGTACCAGCCTTGACTCGCCGGGCTAAACCTTTTATTCCCGCCCTAGACGCGATAACTTGTATCTAGCAACTGCAGTAGTAGGCCAAGTTCCTACTGACTAGTATCATTCATTCAAGCTTTTCGCTTTTCTTGGTAGAAACGCAGGAACAGGTTTTGATCATCCGAACGTTCAATCAAACATCAATCAAAAATCAATTTAAATCATCTAACCCTTTCTAGTACAAGAACGCATTGATTTCTCCCCCATCTGATTCATTCATTCATTCATTCAATAATTCAATATTTTCCCCGTGATTCTATTTTTATTCCGAGTATTCTCCTTCCGTGTGAACTTTGGACGTCTTCATTTCGGTAAAGGGGAGAAAAGAGCTAATAAATTGAATTGTTCTCGAACCTAGAAATGTCTTGCGTTAATCTTTGACTTGTCTAGGGCGGAAAAATCATTTTCATTTTCATTTCAAAAGATGAGAGGATTCTAGAATTTTATCAGGAAAGTCGATTTTATCATGTCAAATGCAACGATATAAAGAGGCTATGAAACCTCTTCATTTCATCCTCCGTATTCCAATTTCCTATCCCAATCCAAATTTCTATTATAAGAATTCATTTCGTCACATTTGATAGTCTCCAAAAAGTTCAACGAATCAAGGCCCAGACCGGGTGGACCCCCTTTTGGAGTTGTTCATACTGTTCATATTCATTCATCCATCATCATTCATTCGTGGCTCAACTCAATGCTTAGCAGGTTCTAGCCCGGCATCTTCTTCGAGGAACGGCCTGGATGGCAACCCCTGAACGCTTCTGCTCAGGTGGAGTTATGGATGAACAGCACAAAAAGTTCAAGATAGGTACGGAATACTTCTTACATGGATAAATGATTACGACGACATCAATAGTTTGCTCAGGAACATCCAAACTATATTACGAGATGATTTATTTTGGCATTATTTATGATCATATTGTTTGTTTTCGACCAGAAATGGAATCGGACTATGAGACCTCGATTGGATATCATACTTTCTCGACGGAAATTTAGCTGGGGATTCTCCGACCCCGGAAACAGCTGAGTATTTGGACGGTAAAAGTCTTTGAAGCCTTTTCCCGCATAAATGGTCTTGCACCTAAGAAGCTTTGGTAGGTCTAACATCAGACTTCCGCCCCCATGAAGTCGCTGTACACTGTACACTGTACACTGTATCTTCCGTGAAAGGAAACATACCCCATCGATGGACCACAGCACAGTCGAATGATTATCGATGACTTTTCAAGGTCATTGAAGCAGCTGCTTACTGGAATACTTCACTGCACATCACCTGACCATTTATTTGCCTTGGCCGACTCATTCCATATTACCAAAGGTCAATATACTGCATCTCTTGGCTGTCTTCTCTCCTTCTTTTCTCTCTCTCTTTCATTCTGATGGCTGCTGCTTTGACACTTGAGGCGTTGTTTGCCCGAGAACCTTCCAAGATAAACTACATGGTGGTGGCGAAAACTTCTGCTTATCCTAAGCACTTCATTAACGTTGGGACCTCGGATGTCGAGTCATTTTCTTCTTCAGAACATCCTCTTTTTTAAAAAACGTTCAATGGCTTGAAGTTTAGACTTGAACAGATGTTCAATAATTCTCAAAAGGTTCTGGTCATGGTAGATGAATGAAACATACGTCCACGTGACGCATACCTTCGAAAGTCGTCGATTGAGTAAATCCTCTTAACAAGATACCTATCACATCCACGGCATTTCGTGTGGCTCCCTCAACTTTTACTGTCATCTGTTTAGCACAAGCTTTTGCCTTCTTGCTATATCACTTACCACAATATTGACCTAATGGTAACAACCACATAACACCGGAAGTCCCGGAAAAATACGATGTGCAACAAAAACATCTATCAGATCTTTGATTCAGTTGGGTGTCTCTCTTTCTATGTATTCCGATTTGTTTCCGTAAATTTACGGAGATGAATAGGCAGCAAATAATCCTAGAGACAAGAAAATAGTCCTAGAGGCAAGAAATATTGAATTTTGCCACAATTTTTTAAACCTGCAATGGGAAGTCTCGGGATGAGATATGAAACCGATTTTTCGCTCTGGTGATATTGGATCTTGTCTTTTCTTGTCTTGTCATGAATCTCAATTGATGGGAACTTTCGGAGGTGAGATGTGCAACAAAAGTCTTACTGATTGTAGCGATATCATGTACTGGATCGGATCGGATCGGATTGGATGAGTCGGGATGTACACATGTTATATCTATCTACTTCTATCAAACGGCCAGAGGAAAATTCGGAGGTGGAGATACACAAGAAATACCATTCTGAAACAAATCCTATATTCAATGCTACGGGGAGTATCGGGTTGAGACGTGCAACGAAGTCTTTCCCGTAGGCAGGGAATCGGATTAGATTGATCGTATACATGTATACATCTCTATTACCATTAAACGACTAAAGAAAATCTCGAAGATGAGAGATATATGTATATATAAGATATACCATCCCGAAACAAATCCTACATTCAAAGCTATCAAGAAAATCAAAGAGTAAAATACACAATAAATTTTATATACATATCAGATAAAAAAAACACCCCCCAAAATCTTTACCATAATTAGTTCTTATTCCTCATCACTGCAGGCAGGTATCTACCTCGACATGTAAACTATACAATTATACAAATTATACAATCAGATATATATATACCATCTTGTCTGTTTGTCTGTCTGTCTGTCTGTCTGTCTGTCTAACTTTCCATTCCATTCCATTAAACTAACATGCCTTCAATTCAGAATGAAAGATAGAAGATCCAAGATCCAAAATCCAAGACATCCGATCTGATCTGTTCTTTCAAAAGCACTGATGAGTGGGTGAGTGGGTGGGTTTTAAAAGAGGTAGGTAGGTAGGTAGGTAGGTAGGTAGATATATTTGTCTAATTATCTAACATCTAACATCTATAATCTCATACTTTTTATTATTTATTATTTATTATGTATATCTATATGATATCACAGTATAAAAAGACCCATAAGAGTAATAAGATATAAAAAATTATAAATTTAACCTCCTAGTTACTTTTCTCCCTGGTGGTGCCGTTCACTACATCTTTAATCTTGTACTTACAATTGTTTTTCACCACATCTTAAAAAGACATCTTTCATAAGAAAGATGTTTTATTTATTTTTAAACCTCCCGAGACCATTCCTCATCCTCATCCTCATCCTCATCCTCATTCTCATTCTCATCAATAAAATTTTCTCTCATTCATTCCCAAACGCCATATGATAGCAAAAGATAAAAGATAAAAATTACAATGGGGAATCCGAAATCTCATATTCATCTCATCCCTCCTCCAATACCTGCTATGCAGATCATACCAGCCCCATTACCCGTTCGCTATCACAATTTTCCTCTATTTCCCTAGTGCCTACCCCTTTTTGCATCCGATAGTCTGCTTAAAAGTTACTCGCTTAATGCTTTCTCTTTTTCTTTGGCGCTTCTTCTTCATCCTCCAATCCACTTTCCATATCCTTTCGCTTAGCCTTCTTCTCCAATTCATCCCAATCTTCACCTTCACTTTCTCCCTCACTATCCTCTTCTCCTTCGTCATCACTTGCATTACTATCGAAATCGCTATCTTCTTCCGAGCTCTCCTCACTTGCCGCCATTTCGCTATCACTCATCTCGAATGCCGACTCCTCATCTTCTTCATCGCCACCTTCATCATCAGATTCGGTTGCCAAGAAACCCCATCCACCATCGCCAAAAAATCCATGTGGATCTGCTGTTACCGTCTTCATAATGGTTGGCCAATTCAAGTTAAGAGGTCCTTCGGAAAATGGAATATTAACAGAATCTAACCATTCCTTAACATTTTCGAGTGATTCCACAGGAATAGTGTTGATATGGTAAGGAGCACGATGGAAATCCTTGAAGACGAATACCATATCAAAGTTCTTAAGTCCGAATTGAACACGTTCAAGATGAGCGATTTCAATATCCTCAAGAGTGATGACCATGAAAGGTGGTTCGGTGAGTTGAACCAAACAATCTGTGGAGGGTTGACAGAAAACGCTTGATCTAAATGGTACACCATTGAAACCAAGTTCACGGAAAGGTACGTCAACATCAACGTTCTCATTCTTACCAGCGTCGGCGATCTTTTCCGCAAATGCTTTGAATTGACGATCGAGATCAGCGCGACGTCTTCGTTCTTCTTGTTCTGCTTCAAATTCTTCCTCATCACCATATCTATACTTTCGCTTTCGATTTCCAGTCTCATCAAACTGGATGTCAGTAGCTTCGCGATAGAATTGAACATCCTTGGTCTTTTTCTTGCCAATCAAAATTGGATCCTTAAGATGTACATGAATGATAACAATCAATTCATGATCACAAGGTTGGAAGAAAAGATGTTTGACATTACTGAAGAGTATGTCGACTCGGTGTTGAAGATTTAGAGGGGATTGATATCGAAGACCATTTTGATGGATTTCGACCTTTCCTGGTACACGTTTACCATCCATGGCGGGACGAATGAAGACATTATCCATAACAATTGGTCGACGATCTGTATGTGTTAGTAGTGAAATAAAACAGGTGCTATGTTGCAAACTTACTTCGGATCTCAACCAGTTTGTCCTGCTCAACAACATCTTCCATATCCTTTTTCTCTTGTTCACGCTTAACAGCATCTTTCTTCATGTTACCAATTTGATTTGCAATTTCTTGAAACCTATCTCCATCATGAGATCTGAATGTCAAACTTCTAACAAAGTGCGCTGAGGCATCCTCGAAAGGTTGATCATCCTTTCTTCCAACACCTTGACCAGGAGACAAGAAGTTAATTCGAAGGTATGAGAATTCACCTTCATCACTCTTACTTGCATTCTTGATAGTTTGAATGTGGAAAGGTACTGGGCGGCCCATAATAGGCAAGACAATTGTTGAGTTCTTTGCGTCCATGACAATGGCGAGATCTCGAATCTTCGGAGGGAATTGATTCTCGCGCTTGTAAGATTCAAATCTCTTGAATTTCTTAACGGCAACACCATTTTGATCACCAGTAGCTTCAGCGAACCTCCTAAGACCCTCTAGGTGTTTCCTCCTTGCGAGCTCTTTTTGATGCTCACGACGTCTGGTTTCAGCACCCTCATCAACCTGAGTTGTCCGTTCAGCCCGAAGTTTTGTCTTGGTAATGTTTTTGGTTGCAACAGCCCCAACGCTCGAATCCTTCTTTGCCTTGCTGACTTTTGGCTCTGGCGCAGGCTCATCTTCTTCATCCTTGAAAAAGAATGATGTAGCATCAAGTTCCGAGGGTGCATCGCCAGTAAAAATAACTGGTTCCGCTTGAGTCACACGAACAGTATCTGATAATACTAAAGAGTAAATTTTGCTCTTTTTATCTTGAGGATCCTTGTTCTCGATGTCATTGAACCCAGTAGTGACGCAGAGGGTCATTCCGTCCTTCAGGATACGATTGCTCTTGGCATTAAGAAGTAGGGTGGGGTCTCGTGTTTCGATACCAATACCAGCTCCAACATTCTTTAAGAAATGCTTCTCCAACTCAGGCTTCTTCGTTCTGATGAGAGCTAAAGCCTTGGCGTAAATATCCTTGACATGGGCACCATCGCGAATTTCCTTCATGACAAGATTGTGAACCTGTAATAGGAACTTGTAGTTGCTCTCCTGAGATTTATTTGGGTCGACGAGGTAAGTTCGGCCAATCAAGGAACAGTAAGTCTTGTATCGGAGACCCATAGAACAAATGATCACACCAGCATGTAACAACTCATCATCAACTTGGGCACTCATCTTCAAGTCGTACTTTCCACCACTCTGTATGATAGGGCCATGTGTCCAGTCCAATTGTGAGGAATCGAAGTCGCTGGGCATTTTTTGTTTGTTAGGAAGCTCGACGGAAGTCCAAAATCTGGCGTCGTCCAACTTGCCATCCACTTTATTGGCCAGGGCACTATGCTTGACCTTTTTCTCCTCATCTAGAATACCTGACATTTCCTCGACAAAATATGGGTTCATCAGTGCAGTACATGCTTTCGAGGAATTTCGCATAGCGCGCTGCAGAAATGTATCAGCATCAGTTAGTTCTTCAACCTCAATATAGTGCCTTACTAATTCATTCTCATCTTTCACTGCCAAAGCTGCGGAAGATAGAGCCGGCGCAATATCTACTTCTTCCACATCCTTTAGCTCGGAATAGGCTTTCTTCCACTCGTCGATAAAAGGGCCATTGGATGTATCTTTTGGTAAAATTCCAACTTTCTTCTGTAAATGAATATTTGTCAGACTACTCCCATTGAGGAGAATAGCAATGCTCGCAACTCACCCCCGACGACTTGATGACATCTGTAATCTTTGTGAAGAGCTTCTCGTTGGCTGCCGCATCTTTGCCTCTGACCAAGACCTCGAGAGGGATCTTTCCACCTTTCAGAGGTTCCAGATGTTTCGCTATACCAATATTAGCTTCGAAGCTCTGGCGCATATGATTTAACTATCCACCCACCTTTCTTCGCGGTTGTCACAATGTATAAAGTATCAACTGTGAAAAGGAATAGTGTCGCGGGGAACTCGTAGCCTAATAACCAAAACTATCTCTTAATCAGCATTCAAACCCCCACCCATTGTACTTCCTTGCGAAGTTACTCGCAGATAATTCAAACTCACATGAATCGCATTATTTTTCTGAAAGCTTGCCACATCCTCAGTCTTCCCCATCAACACCAGGATACTATTTGCGCCATTGAAAACCGCGTCGCCTCCTCTCTTATCAGCTTTCCAAGCCGATATAAAATGCGACAATCGTTCCTGAAATAAATTCTTATCGATTCTGATATCCACCATGATGATTTCGAATATCTATTGATGGGAGAGAATTGAGGTGGATTTTGTTGAAGAAAGAGGAAGGAGATATCAAAGAGGACGACGCGATGGTTCAAAAACTCGCGTTGATTGAAATTGATAAATTGCACTTTGGGTCTTTGTGAGTTGATAGAATTAGTGTTCAACTGAGCTTCGATAACGGATGTTTGATCAAATGAAATACCGATTTTCTTTTTTCAGCCTTGTAGTCTTGTGACAAGGCTGCGGGACAGCGAGGCTGATTGGCAGGCTTGGCGTTAGCGTTACAGCAAGGATAATCTGAATTCGAACCGTCTTACTGTTATCTCCATTTAAGTCAGAATAAGTTCAATGTAGTGTAATCTCTGTTCTTTTCATCGATGATCCTCAGCTTGTTACCATGGAATTCACTATCGAGTTCTACGAGCACATATATGCGTGTATTATTGAGTACAATTAGGCATTACAAGTCCTATATATCAATAGTCTATGTACAAGAGAAATTTATTACCACGTCTATTGTACGAGCCGCCCATATTCTAGTCTTGAAATATACTGTATGGAGGTTCCCAACCATCCCTCTAGACGAAAGAATCTGAAGCCATTCGGTTCGATACATATGGTAGGTATATAACCATTCAAAAGACACCCTTTGGCTGTGTTAGCTTTAAGGATCTAAAATGGGGGATGAATGAGAATAAGATTATACTTACTGGGATGAACAAATATGGGACTAATCTTTCGTACTCCTCCCAAGCTTCTCCATATCTCTCTCTGCATTTCTGAATGTCTCTGTAGGCGCGATGAGAGATCATACCGGCGAAGAAGACGCAGTAGAACCAAGGGAATGGACTATTGAAGCCGGTAATAAGACCCCAGCAGAAAGCAAAGTAAAAATCACAAGTGTAATGGATCTTGCGAGCCTTTCCGTACCAACCATCGGCCAAAATTGAATCACCGGTTTTGGTTTTGATGATGCGGGGGTTCATGACCTCCTTCCATGGCAGTTGAGGGAATGCCTTGCGGTCTGTGACAGTACCACGCTCACGAGATCTAAATCTATTCTTTTGACTGTTGGTAGTATCCCAAACCCAGTACACGAAGAGGTATGACGTATACAAAAAGTAGAGGAAGTACTTGTTCCAGGAGTATTCAGATGGTGGGTGATTAGCTAAGTAAATGGTGCAGTGACAGTAGCTGAGAGGAACACCAGCGAGGTTCCAGAAGATCAACATGAAGCCCCATTTCTCGTAGTACATATCCCTAATAGAGTAAGTAGGCTGCATTGAAACAAGCAATGGGATAAACAAACCAGGTTGTTATAATCAATTCCTCCCCTTTAGCGCATGCATTTGCATACAAAAAGTGTGCCATGATCAGGAATCCAACTTCACCTGATACATAGCCATATTGCTCATATTGTCGTGCAGCAGCGGCACATGAAAGACCCAAAAGGATAAACCAAGGTAGGCGAACTTCAAAGAACATTTTAAAATCCAAGATACCGAACATTCTTGGATTCAATTCGGCTCCCATGAAGAAGTCATAAATTGGATACCCGGTCATTCGATGTTGAGCTCCACGTGCCAAAGCCGACACATACGCAACAATTGAGACCAAAAATCCAGAGCAAATTGCCACGGACATGATAGGCCCGAACTCGTCAAGAAGAGTATAGATCTTGAATATGTCGAAGTAATGCAAAACGCCAGCGGTGACAAAGGTAAAGTAAAACGACCAGATCCCGGAACAATAGTATGGCAATTGCTTACCTTCCTCATGGGGTAGTGGTTTTCCATAACCCCAGACGCCTGGCATGAGACAATACATGATAGCTTCAAAGACGAAGAAAACCCAGTAGATTTTCCATGCACGAAGGCTTGGGAATGCGCCCGTGTAGACAAGATGGCCCATATGTTTGACAAAATCGAGGAACTCCTGGCCTGGTTCCGGCGTGGGGAATTTCCCATTGTAGTATGTTGCTCCAATCCACATATACCACATGAGGCAAGGAAAACCAATCATCATAGCACTAACGCCGAAAGAGCCACCAAAATCGAAATGACCAGAGGTATCGATCCTTGGATCTTCCGAGACCTCTGACTTGCCATTGACTACTTTCTCTTCGACCTCATTCTCGACTTTTGCGCTGGCTTTCTTCTTCAATGACCCATTCGTGTTAGAGTCATTGACCGCAGAAGTATAGCCATTGGTTATCGAAGCATTACTGAACTGGTCGTTGGTTGTTGCTGCTTCGACCATGTTTACTTTCCGACTCGAAGATCTCACCCTTGACGGTGGATTATCTGTTGTGGATGAAGAGTCGTCCGTGTCTTCGAGAAACTGTGACTTTCGTTGGCGACGGATTCTTGGAGTCTCGACGAACCCAGCACGTTCCGTCTTTCTGTGCAAATTGTTAGGATTCTCAACAAGAAAAGTGAAGAGGGAAGAGAATAAATATGGACTTCTCTATCTTTTTCCCATTGTGCTTTTACTTACTTGGGCGTCTGCCGCAAGGAATACCTTTCGCGCCCCTCGGACATTTTGTACCCCAACAAGGTAATTTCGGAACGGAAGAAAGATAATTTGGATGAGTATGAGGCAGAGGCAGAGGCCGAGGCAATGAATTCACTAGGTAGGTAAGATTACAAAATTCAAATGAAGCACTTTGTAAGAAAGGTGCTATAAGGTTAACAGAAGCTCCAAGGACATAATTTCATACACGCACAAAAACAAAGTGTCAACAATATTGTAGCATCGAATGAAAGTCAAGAGGATCCATTTGCATTGGGAAATATTTAAAATTAAGATTTGTTTACTAAACTCACTAGTCTGAGTCTAGTACTTCAGTAGGTACGGACAGGAACACAGTCGAGCCACTCGGAAGCCACACACCCATTTATCCACTCCCCTGTAACTGGTGGGTGAACTAGTAGTTAGTTGTGCCTCCGTATGTATTGGGAAAAGGGACTGAGGATTGATTGAGCCCTAGAAAAAGAGAGAAAGCGAAAAAGATGGAGTCCTGATTGCCAAATACGGCTTTACGTGCAATAAGAGGTCAAGGATTACAATGTATGTATCTTAAATATTACAAATATGATAGTATAAGGCAGCACCTAGTATGGGCTATGTAGTATCAATTAGGTGTTGTCAGGATCGTGACAACGAATACTTGCGGGGCCATCAACCTCAACCAACTCATCGACTACAACACATAGGGAAATTTTTGAAATTGTATACCATCTCTTGGGCACTGTATAATTTTTTATTCATCGCTGATCTTCTGATCGTTATAAGTGGCTAAGAACAACCATTGTTGCATTCACCTCATGCAACGTCATTGACTCTTAACACAGTACATTTTCGAATGATGTGACTTTTTATTCATCGCCAATTTTTGATTGATGATGTGCGTAGCAGGCTGTGAGTAACCACTGTTAAAACATCAAACTTCCTTGCAACATATACTCTTTTGCGCGCCCATTCCATCCCAACATGCGCCCGCCGCTCATGCCATAGACGTGATGCCAAAATCGGACGTTATCCGAAGAAGTGCTGTACAAGAAAGTCGCAATGCATCTCATGGTAACGCTGTAGGTAGTATAAGACTAGGTCAACCAACCCATCCGAATCCTGTTGCTGAATAGGGACATGAGGATATCTGACTTTCGAAAGGGTATCGCACCTTCAGCACCAATCATCTCTTTTTCTCGTCAATTCATCTCATCTCCTCATAGCATCCATCACCTTGATAATATTCCCGCCTGGTCATCCCATTCAACGTCCCGCCCTGTGTTCTTCAACCACCATTGCTGTATCATTCATTTTCACGTCTATCCTGCCTGCCAGCCCCATCATTACATAAACGAAGTCCTCATATTTTCTGATAAAACAAAAGATATGCGACCTTATTATCCATGACTGAGAACTTACCAGCCCCAAGTCCATTGGCTGGTTTGGGCTTTGGCGTAGAAGCGCCATTAACCACACTAGACCATTTCTTTCCAGATCCACTGGCCTGTTTCCATCCATCCTCTTCGGCGTCTCCGTTTTCATCTCCAATAGAGGAGAAGATGTTTCCGGAAGACGAACTATCCTTTTTATGTGCCTCCAAAGCAGCAGCGAACACTTTAGGGTCTTCCTCACTACCTCCTTCAGCGACATCTTCGCTCCTTACACGTTTAATGACAGTGTCGTCAAGTCTGATCCACTCTTTCCCATCTTGTCTTCTAACATCCACAGTATAGTGACCACCGCTGGCATTCTTACCATGATGATACACGACGCCAATGAGACGATACTTCGGATAACCATCATGAGCCAAGACACCTCGTTTAGTTCTGGGAAATACTTCCTTTGGTAATTCGAGTTCCAAAGGATATCCAACCTTCTTCCAAATCTTCTGCGTTCCGCCAGTGTTGTCATATTGGAAACGCTTCAAGTGTAAGATGAGAACAGGAGGTACTGTCTCGATGAATACCTGCTTTGTCGCGGTCACATTGGGACCCTTCGGAGACTTGAAATCGCCATGAAGAACCTCAGAATGTGTTAAGCCTTTCAATGCATCAATGATATTGTGAATGTTTGGTGAACCAATATCAAGTTGTAATGGTTGATACGGCTCAAGAGTGATGGAATCTTTCAAGCCTGGCACACGCAATTCAGATCTTAAGCTGCCACCAAAGATCTTAGTGACTGGGGAGCCAGTAAGGATGGTCCCGGAAGACCTTGTGATCGCAGCCTTTTGTTTAGGTCCAACCTGCTGCCAGACATCATCAATAGATCCGCGTCGGCTGGCAGAGTCGCTTGTCGGGGATGAAGGTGCATTCATGGGTGTTGTGACAGCAGAAGTTTTGCTCGAGTCACTTGACTTCATGACATGTACACATTCATCATGAAGCCCTTCAAGTAAGAAGCCTAGAAATTCCTCCGCGTCTTGTTGATGTCCTCTCTATGATACATATAAGTGAATGAAAACTAGGATGATCTTTAAATGAACTAACCTGCATCGTCACGAATCTTGGTAAGCGTCGCATGACATCGTATACAAAGTCCGGCGTGAAAGAATCTCCATATTGCTCAAGTTCTCCTTCCTTTAGTCTCATTTTGAGTTGCTCAACAGATTTTGCAGAATCAATTACTGGAAACTCTCGCATAAACATAATCCTTGAGCGGTATTAGTAACATCCATACGAGTATACACAAAGAGAACTCACATGGCATCAATCAAAGGAGTTTCACTCTTGAAGCTATGCGCTGCTTTCTTGCTAACTTGATCAAGAAAGTCATAGAAAGGGCTGCAGAAAACGAGAACTTGTAAAACTGAGTTCATGTAGCACATATTGCCAGTGTTAACTAAACCTCGAGGCGCAAGAAATGATATTTTAGAGTCTTTAGCTTCAGCATTGAACGAGCGCAATGCTTCAGCTAATGATTCTGTATTCTTCTTGCCAAATGCGGGTGATCCATTTTGCCCACCATTGGCAGTGGTAGGTGCTGTAGGTGCACCGGACGAACCAAAGAGACCAGTCCAAGCTCTTGGAGTAGCCCATGCTTTAGGAGGAGGTGTTGCCTTCACCTCTTCATTAGCAGGCTCTTTCGCTTCATCCGCATTTGTGGGTTCGGATGTACTCGGGGTCACCTCGGCAGGAAGTTCTCCGCCGGACTTTTGAGGGGTCGTCGATGGCGTATTTTTGGGCTGAGACTTTGGAATGACACGTACGACGGGGACAGCAGGTACGGCAGCTCGCTGGGATTTTGTAGCTACAGGAGTCGCCTGCCCACCAGTAGGGAGAGACGAAGGTTGTGTAGAGGATGGTGTAGATGATATTGTAGACTCATTGTCTTCGGATGGACCTTGAGTAGTAGTAGGTGTTTCGGGTGCGAGCCCTGAAGCTTCTTCAAGCGCCGGTGTTCGTTCTATATGTGTTTCCAACGCTTCTAAATCCTTCTCCGGCTCAGAAACAACATCTTTGTCTAAGCTTGGAAGCTCGACAGGATTCGTAGATATTTCAGGACACTGCTTTCTTTTCCGACGCCGTCTGGCTGGCCAGGGTGCAGTAGTATTAGGAGTAACCCAAGGCAACTAGTTAATGTCAGCAATTAGAAATGTATTTCTCGACGTGTAGCATACTGGTGGCTGGAAAGGTATATAGTGGTTAGGAGCTGGAGGTGGAGACTGAGGTAATGCTTGTGGAGTAGGAGGTGTCAAAGGTCCAGGAAGAGCATTGGATGACTGCGTTGAGTAGGTTGAAGGAGTCTGAGGGGGTGCCGGCGCAAGGGCTGGTTGATAAGACGACGCGATCACTGGTGGGTGGGATGCAGCAATAGCAGGAGATGGTTGGGGTCGAGTAAAAGGTGGTGCTTGGGGTTGAAGTGGAGGTGGAGGAGGATGAGCGTAATGCGGCATCATTGGAGGAGGCGAACGACCATAATGCTGATAAGGATTGTACTGTTGGGTCAAAGCTGGATTATGATATTGTGGAGGAAATGGTTGCGGATAATAGTTCGCGTTGTACGGGTGCATGTATCCATTGTACAAAGGTGCCGCCGGCGGATATGGCTGAGCTTGATGACTATAAGGTCTTCTCCTTCCCATATCTTGCTGCATGCCTTGCCCTGCCGGCAGATGACGACCGTTCATCATGCCGGCTTGCTAAAGCGTATTATTTCCAAACCTACCTTGTCAGGCTGGCCTGGATTGGAAGGGACCGTCGCGCTGCGTTGATATTGGGTTTTCGTTATATGGAGGAACTTTTTGGAATATATTTCGAAATATCAGCGCATTAATAAGAACAGCTTAGATGTATATCTAGAAGCGCGCGATAACCGTAACTTCCGAGATATTTCTGTATAAAGCTGTTCATATAACTGTTTATAAAATATATGTTGTGTTGTTGGGGTTGAATTTTAGAGTGGGCAGGTAGAGATGGGTTAGCAATTCTTGTTGCTCCAGAATTAAAAGAAGATGACTGAGCCGAACGTTAAAGCTTGCCAAGACTTTTTTGCCCCCAAAATCCAGAGGAGCTTTGACATGAGGTGAGTCTAGATACCTAGATAGATGGGTATTTTTATATATTTATTTACCGTATTAAATTTTCTGTATAATCAGACGACCCTATTCTCTCTAAGTATGAGAATTACCAAAAATCAAAATCATACATCTAAGAATTGATTGATTTTATAAATTACTTTTTCACTTCTTCAAGATATAAAGTTGCGTCTTTTGTCTGTAAAGTTAGCTCGTTTATGAGATGATTGATTCGTCGCCCCTCCTATCAATGCCGGTAATCAATCATAATCATATCATACCCAGATAGAGCTAATCGTACGCAACCTTACTCTGTATGACTCTTCCTCTACCCATAATATAAATCAACAGCGTCCTTGGTGGCGTCTGGAAACGCCTCTAAAACAACAACTATAAGCCCAATTTTTATTCAGTCTTCGTTCTCTCTCATATATAAGATCTGGCACCTCCGTACATTTTCCCACGTCGGATTTGTCAATCGGATGATTGATCTTTGAAGGCTTTCAAGAAGGATAACACTTTTCAAAATCCCATTTCAAAGTCCTAATTCAAACTTGATAGTCAAAGTCATCATCCAATCTGACAATCTGACAATCAAAGAACTCATTAACTTGTGTCTTCTTAGTCGGGTTTTCCGCTGGATCGCAAAGCATATCAAAGCAATCGTCTTATCAGAAAAAAGACATCGATTGAAACCCCATCAATCCGGGTTTGAGAAGTACTACACCAACTTCGTCGGCCATCAATCTCCCATAAAATAACCATTTTAAGTCTTGTGCTCTACCACTTACCTCATTACCTCAATCCCATTTGAACTATGAACCCGGTTCCACAAAGCGCGTCATCGCCCGGCGGAAAGTCTCTCAATACCGCATCATCACATACACCCATTCAACAACAGCAAAGTCAGACTACACCTCCAACTTTTGACTCAAACACAAGACGTTTTACTAGTCATTCAAGTGGGATACCCGCGGCTGCTAGAAACAATCAAAATCAACGGAAGCAACATAGAAATTCCAAGAAACCGAGGCTCACGGATGAGGATGCCATGGCGGAATCCGTAAGTTTTCATCATTTCGCATTTTCAATCTACAAGTACATTGCACACAATCAGGCATCCGCATTCCATAAGCAGGTTACAGTCAACGGTAGTACTAATGTTACTAGACGGCCATGAGAAATGCAAATAGTCGAAGAGGTCAAACCTCAATCACACATCTCATGAGCTTCGCTCTTCCACCTAGGCCACAAGACTACCGCAACACCATCACAAGAGGAACAAGACGTGGAAATATATATGGAATCGGGTCTGGTCATCATTCAAGTGACAAGGCGAGATATATTCACGCAAACTATCGATTTATAGTCAGGCCATATGGGGATTACAAGCAACAAGCTCTATTTGCGGACCAGCATTTGGACTGGAGCGATGTTCTACAAATCCTCGCATCGGGCGAATCACAAGACGCATCATGTCCAATTTGCCTCTCACATCCTGTAGCCCCTCGAATGGCAAAATGCGGACATATATTTTGTCTACCATGTCTCATCCGTTATATGCACTCCACCGACGATACGAACCCTATCCCGGAGAAAAAAGCTCGATGGAAGGCATGTCCAATTTGTTGGGATACTATCTACAATTCAGAAACTAGACCCGTTAGATGGTATATTGGGCAAGAAGGGCCGGCCCCTCGTGAAGGAGAAGACGTTGTTTTACGATTAGTTATGCGACAACCCGGAAGCACTTTAGCACTCCCAAGAGATGGTGCGGATGTACTCGATAAGTCGGAAGATATTCCATGGTATTTCGCTGCCGAAGTTATGGATTATGCTCGAATCATGAAGGGAAGTGAAGAATACATGTTGGAACAATTTGATTCAGAAATTGAAGCATTGAAGCAACAAGAGAATGAGGATGAATTGATGTTTGGAGAGGAGCCGGAGTGGACTCGAAAAGCTGTCAGTTCCGTGCTCGATGCCAAGGAAAAAATCAAAGGTATCGGTGGACCACCGCCTCCACCAAGCCAGCCGATGGAGAAGAAACCTAAGAGGCAACACATACAATTCAACGTCGTTGATGACAACACACCTGAGATGTACTTTGTCCAGCATGTTGCAAAATCAGGCCTGGATGTTTATGCTTCAACGCTATCTCCATCAGCTGTCCCTTTCCAATTGGATCCGGTGGTGACCGCCACACTACCAACTCCGTCTAATCTTATTCCAACCGCGAACCCTTCACAATTACGTTCAAAGAATGTCCATCAAAACGAGGGACACTCACCGGATTCCCCATACTTTTTCTACCAATCTCTCCTTCATTATTACCTCGCGCCCCTTGATATTAGGATTCTGAAATCCGCTTTCGGCAATTTTGCCTCGTTTCCTTCAACATTACTTCCCCGCGTTGAACGAGTCTCCACTCATGTAATGGATGATGAATTAAGAAAAAGAACCAAATATCTGGCGCACTTGCCATTTGGTTGCGAAGTAGGTTTTTTGGAATGCAATTGGACTGATGTTGTTCAACCGGAAATTTTGAATCAGTTTAAAGAGGATATTGAGCGACGAAGGAAACGTAACAGGGACAAGGAGATTCGAGAAGAGAAGGACAGGCAGCGTGCTGAGAAGGCAGAGGATAATGCACGTTGGGCCCATGCTAGGCAAAGGCAACCCGAGACATCCCCGGGAAGCTATTCTGATACGGATTATGCCCAACTTGCCTCGACGTCTATTGACCCGATCAATGCATCGCCTCCATGGACCTCGCGTCAAGGGTCTTCTTTCGGAGCACTGGCTTCACCGTCTACCAGTCCGCCTGCGCCAAGAACTGTTTGGGGCACAACTTTGGTAACACCATCTTCGCCCGATCTTCGTCCTGGACATGATAACAATGCGGATGATGGTTGGCTGGCGACTTGGGAACAAGAACTCCAAGCAGAAAATGATGCACTGGTCGCTCAAGTGCAAGCGGTGTCCTTGAACGGGGAAAGTAGTTCAAGTGCTACTCCTCAACCTCAGGGAAAGAGGAAAAAGGGGAAGAAAATTACATTAATGAGTACCACAGCTAGAAGAGCTGCATGATTATCTGCGAAGAATTGAAACCGGAGCGTGTACTTTTCGAGGAATTCGGCGTTCATGGTGATATCACTACAGAAACAAAATGCAATATATTCATTTTCAATGTTCAACAACATGATTTATGCAAGTCTGGTCGCATCCTCCATATGCCGGACGAAACGAAAAGGGTTCTAGAAGTAAGTTTTATTCCTTTTAGTGTTATAAGTGGCGTTGATGTAGGGTGTAACGGTTTTCTGGCTTGACGCCAAATACGTCGTAAGACAATGATCGGCACTCCCTCCCGTATACTTTAACCGTTGCTGTTACATTTTGGCTATCTCTGTTGCTATCAACCTTACCTTAGCGAGCCATACGAGCTGAGCTATTTACGTTCAGATCTCCATTTCCGAAAACAAGCAGCCAGGAGAGGGGTCCTAGAAATTTTTAGGTATTTGCATCGCTTAGCAGTCATCCCACATCCTCATGGTAACGCAACGATACGATATCTTTTCGCAAACTATACATCTTCAATATTGACTTCGGCGGTTTTATATGACCGAGTGGTCTGCCATACATTAAAATATCAATTGATTAACAATTCCCTATGTAATGCAATGCACGGCCCGTACCGCGATAGGAAAACTTCCTGCAGCTAAAGTCTAGGCGCAGATGGTTCTATCAATCAACAAATTGAATGATCCTATCAACTATTTTTATCACCAACTACTATTATGTTAAGGAAGATATATGATATGTTTGAGCAACATGTGAAAATTCTAGCCCTCCTCATCACCCGTTAAGTTTTTAGCACCCTACTGTACTATCTATCATACGAATCATTTTCGCAAGCAACGTTACGAAATCCTTCCTAATATTTTTCAATCCGAGAAATTTCTTCATATATGGCGGGTCATGTCGGGATATCACTATTTATGCCTCTTCAAGGCTTATGGAACGGAGACACAATAACTCCGGACGTTTTCCGAGACGTTTTATGATGTAACATCGAAAGTCTGTCGGTGTGAGACTCCAGTAGAATGGATTCGCTTAAGTCAGTAATCAGCCACAGCTATGGTACTCGCATTTTTTACTATGTACCTTTGTTGTAGGTAGGCTATGCTCCAGAACATTTTAGGTCTCCCCCGCCCAGCTCTTAGGATTTTGCATACAATATATTGAGTAGGATCGAGATGCACTTACGTTTCATTTTCAGTTCCCAGTATTATGCATATGCAGGTCCGTCAATACCGTCCGAATAACCTATCGGAGAGTATCGGCTGAGATAATCAAGCATGGGAAGACTTTTTTAAGCTGGTCCAATACGAGATATGTTTCTAGGGACAAATGAGCGCAGCTACGCGGAACCGAGTCTATGGGCTGAAGACAAACATCAGCATGGCATGTTCATCAGCAGAAATACTTGACGTGATTAGACAGACCCCGCCTGGATTCATTTGCTAACGTTTTCTCAATACTACCCACCGTTAGTCTTTGACTAGAATCTTCTATCTACGCCGCATTCAGTATGCGAGCTGGAATTTGATGTCAGCATCTAGAGGTTTGGTCTTGAATAGAATACGTCATTCTACTCATTCCCTCTTGATTTTAAATAATTAAAAGCCAAAGAGAAAAGGATCATGTAATTGATTCGGTCATTGCCAGTGTAAATCAACCATATTTCCGGAATCCGCCTTGTCTGTTTTTGTATTGTTGAGAAAGAAGGTCAATGATACGAGGCTCTCATGCCTCACAACGTGAGTTTCAATCGGGCCGTGCTTTCAACTGTCAGGTTATCGTATAGCATGGGAAGACACGACCTGCATGTACATGTATCTTACTGTGCTGCATGGAGTTGGCGTCTGCTATGTGTATAATACTAGGCTAGGATCATGTATGTCATGTTAGGTTGTGTTACTTGCATGGGATGGGTGGAAAGTCAAGCTTGATTCAACGTTGCTTGATGTTATGGTGTGGTAATGGTGCTGAGGGGCGAAAGTGAGATGGAGTGAGATAAGATAGAGATAGCTATATATATGAGTGCTCTTTCTGTGCTTTGAGCTTTCTTTCATCATCATCCTCATCATACAACTACAATTTACAATCATCTGCAACTGCAACTACTAGACTACTCGAACTCAAACATTGATCATCAATCACTACCATCTAAGCAACCAACTCATCTTCACTTCAATCATAAACTCAATCAAAATGCTCTTCACGGTAAATCCCCTTTCCCATTTATCTTCATCCCCAAACCTCAACTAACAACCCACTCAGACACTCCTCCCCCTCACCCTCCTCCCCAGCATCCTCGCCTCCCCACTCCCCACCACCGAAACCAGCCCCTCCCCAACCAGCACCTGCACCACCATAACCACAAAACAAGACTACTACCAAGGCTACCAATCTCCCACTCAATGCGGCATCAACGTCGCAAGCGGCAACATCACCTCCGGCACCTGCATCACCATCACCACGCAAGCTATTATGCTTTTCCCCGCAGACACTAAATGTACGTATAGTCTCTGGAAGGGGGTTACGGATTGTAGTGGACAGGTTACGGAGACGTTTGATTTGGGGGTTAGGATGCAGGAGGTGGGGGAGGAGAGTCAGGGGGTTTGTGTTGGGACGGGGGTTATGGACGGGGGGAGGTGGTATCATGGGAGTGGGTTTTTGAGTTGTGGGTGTTAGTTATTTTTCGGTTTGTTTGGTTGGTTTGGTTGGTTTGTTTGATGGGTATGGGATGGAGAAGAGGAAGGGCTATTGATGAAAAGGAGGAAAAAAGATTGGATTTCTTTTGATGTGAACAGGGACTTTTCTATATTGACAATTTCGAGAATTCTGGGATGGATGGGTATTAATGATGACATAGGTATGATGGATACTCACTCACTCACTCAATCAAGTAGATTGAACCGCTAGATGAATGGATGGATGGATATCTGGAAGGAAGGAAGGATTTCATATTTCTCTTAACACACAGTGGTAGGATTAAAATCAAAATCAAAATCAAAATTCATAGACAAAAAATTAAAGCTTATAATTATTGGGAATTTATATCTTGTCTTGTTTTGTCTTGTTGTTACAAGTTGTTTATTAATGAAATCTTTATTTCTAGTTTTATTTCTAGTCTTATTTACTATCATCATCATTATTATTTAAATATCAAAACATTTAATAATAAATTTTCTCTATATACAATTAAATCTTAAAATCTTATAATAGTTTGATATCTTTATAAGATCTTATCTACTTTTAATATTTAGATCACTAGTGAGTATCACAAGGTTTTTATATTATAAGTCTTATTATATCAATGCTCTTTTATATATAAGAGTTCTGGTCATTACTCACCACACCCTCTTTAAATTTCATTTACACTTTTGAAAATTTAATATTAAATCAATACTATAATATTTTTTATTGAAAATCTAATAATATATTAATGAATAATAATTAATCCTTTTACTTCAATTATATTCTTTAATTTATAAATCAATCTTTCAATATATAATCTGAAATTTAAACAATCAAATATCTTTAACAACCTTTTGAACCTTTTTTTTAATTCTTTAATAGAAATAAATACAAATGATAATTTTTTTTTTAGTTCTTCCTTTATCCAATATTATATCTTTTCAATTGGATTAAGATCTAAAGAAAAAAAGGATTATTAAAAGCTTCTAATATTATACTCTAATCAAATTAATTTAATATACTTCAAATAAACCTTTGTATCATCTTTTATAAATATATATTCAAGTTTTAATTCATCAAATAAAAGAAATATAATAAGAATAAGAATCTGATTTCAATATACTTGTAACGATCTGGTTGAAGCAGCGGCTGCCTCAGGTTTCGTATGGTTGGTAGTTGTAGGTTAAGGCTAATAATCACTGGTTATCCACTCGAAGGTGAATATGTTACTAGATCAATTGGAATGTAGGTAAACTAATTGATAACTAAGTTGAGTACGAAGCTCCTAAACTATGAAACTATTCTGATTATATACTAATCCATTTCGGGAGCCTCTAGGAGTGTAGGCTCCCATAGGCTCTTTGGAGCCTTTAGGAGCATAGGCTCCTCGAGGCTCCATCATGTGATTAGGATCAGACTATATGTCCGAGCTTGCTGAAGGTGGGGAGATTATATGAAGCGGTTGCTATACAAATTCGTATACAAGTTGCTTTGCTTTTCAAGGAGGTCCAAGCTTATAAGTGTCACGAAATCATTTTATAGAGTGTCACGAGGCAACAGTCAATCTGTCCTTATAAGCTTGGATCTCCTTGAAAAGTAAAGCAATTTGTATACAAATTTGTATAGCAATCATTTTATATAATCTCTTTATCTTTAACAAATTCGGATATATAATTTGATTCTAATTATATAATAAAGTTTCGAGAAATTTATACTTTTAAAGACTTCAAAAAATTTACAAAAATTTATACTTTTAAAAGTTTCCGAAATGAATTAATATATAATTAAAATAATTTTATAATTTAAAAGTTTTATATTCAATTTAATTATTAATTAGTTTATTTATATTCTAATTAATTTAATAATATATTCATTTTTGAATAAATAATTAATAATTATTAGTTTTAATTTACAATTATTAATCAAACGAAAACTTGAAGTAATTATTATTTCAATTAGATTATTATATTTTGAATATTGTTATAGTTAAATTATATATAGTATAATAGCTTTTAATTAGTAATTTATCGAATTATCTTTATTCAATCTAATCGAAATCTTTATTTAAATCATTGTTATTATGAAATATAAATAAATGATTCAAATATTTATCTTTAATTTATTCTATAAAGATTATAATAAGTATTGAGTTTTTATTATATAAATTAATCTTTATTATATTTTTAACAAACAATTTTTTTTAATTCCTATATAAAGGATCTTGTAATTGATTTCCTTTTTTTATAGAACTATATTCAATTGAATTAAATCATTTTTTAATGATTTAATAATTAAAACTATCAATAATTAATTAAACAAAAATATGAAATCTAAGATTTATTATCTTTTTTTTAATTATGAATTGTTTAGATAGGGATTTGATAAAGCATTTGAAGAAATAAACCCTGATTATATAATTGAAAAAATATTATAACAATTTAAATAAAACAAATTAATTATAATTTATATTATCAAGTTTCAATAATATATTGAATATATTATATAAAATAATAATTATCTAAAATTATAATTCTATAAAGGATTAAAAGATATTATTAAGAATGAATTAATAAAAGTTTCGAAATTATTTAATCTTTCTAAATTAATCGAAATTTTTATTGTTATTGATAATCGATTTTATAAAAAACAAATAAAGAAAAAAGGAATTATTCAGAAAAGTAAAAAGTTTCAAAAACTTTATTATCAGAATAGATATTATAATATTGATGATTTAATAAAATTGAATAATATCGAATGATATTATATAAAATTAAATAATTTAAATATTAACAAAAAGAAAAGATATAAAAAGAATAACTTATATTATATCTATAAGAAAAATAGATATATATTTCAAGATTATTTTTAAAAAAAGAAACTATTTATTATAAAAAATAAAAAACAAATGAAATTTAGGAATAGAAAATAAAATTCTCAAAAAATAGAAATCTTAAAAGGAAATTTAAAAGAAATAAGATTATTGAAAAAAGATCTATTTCAATCCAATTCCAAATAATTAAAAGAATTGAATATTAATAATCAAAACTCTAAAATTAATATTGAAAACAATATTGATTACAAGGGAGAACTTTTAGAAGATTTCGAATTAGAAAATAAGAAATCAATTGAGGAATTCAAAAAGGATCAATAAACAATTAAATCCTATTATTTACTTCAAAAAAATGAATTATAATATTTAATCAATTATTTAAATAAAAAACGAATATAATATTATTATAAAAAAAGAAACCTGATTTCATTAAGAAATATAGAATTTATAATTATTTTATTTTATTAATATTCTATATAATAATATATAATAATATTTATTATATAATATTTAAGAAAAACATTGGGATAAATAATACTAGAAGATATATTATGGATATAAATTCTTTATCTTTCAATAAAATATAAGAATATAATAAATATAATCTAAAAATTGGAGAAATATAAGAAATTTTATTACAAATTAGGATTCGTTATATTTGATAAAGGATCAATAAGAATAACAAAAAAATATTAAATTATAATTATTATTGAAATTTCCAAATAAAATTAATAGAATTATTATTTATTATATTTTATCAATTATTAAATATAAATGAATATTAATAGAAATAATTGAATCTCCTTATTAAAAAACAAATTATCAAATTATTATTATTAAAATTCAATAATACTATAAAAATCAGATAATTGATTATAAAAATCAAATTAGAAAATCAATAGATTAATACTTTAATTGATTTCGAAGTTATAAATATATTTATAAATCTTAATTTTATAAAAAAAAATAGAATTTTTATAAAATTAAAATAGAACCCTTATTAATTAATATTATTAAAAAAAAAGAAAACTGAAATTAATAATTAAATATACAAAAAAATCAGTATTATCGAAATAATTATATTAGATGAGTATACCGAATAGATTAAAATGGATTTAATATTATTAGATAGATATACAATTGTTCTTGATATTTTATAGATTAAGAAATATAATTTAAATATTGATTAAATAAAAAATATTTTAATATTCGATTGTTACAATTGTGATAACAAATAATTATATAATCTGAAAAAACAGATTTCCTAAGAGATTGAATATTATATTATAACAATAATGAATCTTTCATTAATCAATAAAATTAATGAAAAAGAAATTCTAATATAGTATAAAAGATTTATTAAACTCTTTGAAAATCTTCAAGATTTGAAGGTTTTATTAGAATATAAACTTTGGGATTATAAAATCAATTTTAAAGAGAGATTTGTATCCTTTATTGAAAAATTGAGATTATATAATTTTAATACTATACAAATATAAAAAGAATATAAAATCAAAACTGAAAAGAAAAAATAAATTAGAAAATCCAAATCTTTTTATGTATTCAATATTGTAAAAGTGATAGGTCGAGATACATGTATCCCGATAGCACGCTGTGAGGAGGGAATTGAAAGAGAAAGCTAAATTAGATTACATTGTAATATATCACTTATAGGTAAAACAAGGTTCATAATGGTTTTGAGGTTGATGTTATATAGATTCAAATATATATATATAGAAGATTAATTATTGTAAAAAGAAGAAACAAAAGACTCTTCTTTTATATCTAATTATAAAAGATCATATAATTGATTAGCTAAAACCTTTATATATTTGACCTATAATTCCAACTTTCTTATAATATATTATTAGTATTTAAGAAAGACAATCTAGATAATTGGTTTTATAAAGACTATTATCGAATTAACGATGAAATAATCAGAGATATATATTCAATATCAAAAGTTTAAGAATTCAAGGATAAATTAAATAAAATTATAATTTATATAAAATTAGATTAAAGAAATACTTTCAATTTGATATAAATAAAAAAGGATTATAAATAAAAGATAATCTTTATTTTATTATTGGGTTTATAAGAATATATAGTTATATTATTCGAATTAATTAATATATTAATTATATATTAATAACAAAATAATAAGATATTTAAGGAATTCAATTTGTTTATAATTTATTATTTAAATAATATTCTAATCTTCTTTTAGAAAAAAAAGAAATATAAAGAATATATATTGAAAGTACTCGAAGTATTCAAAAAAATAAATTCAAAATTCAAACTATCGAAATACAAGTTTGAAATATAAAAAGTAATATTTCTAGAATATATTATTCAATTAGAATAAATGAATATAGATTCTAAAAAAATAAAGAAAATAAAAAATTAAAAACGATTTAGAAATATTAAGGATATATAATCTATATTGTAAGAAAATTGAAATTATAGGCTAAATATATAAAGGTTTCAACTAGTCAATCATATAACCTTTTATAATTAGATATAAAAA